TACTGGTGCCAGCATGAAGTCAAGGTTAACAGATAACTAATTACTTTTATTTCGTCAAAATCTTTAGATTACGTATAATAAATTCATAATATCGCTACCTATTCAAATCAAAACAAGTATTAGGTACTTCATGTACTAGTATATAAATTCATCAACACACAAGTAAATGATTTTTAAATATATTCAGAGCCAAAAAATCTTTGTGCATTTAAAAAAAATGCAACGGATTCACTATTGCAGGAAATTGTTGAAAAAATATATATCGAGTATAAGTATCTACTACTATCGACGAATACATTTGGCAACAACGCATGGTCTCGGTCGGAACGGCAACATCGCATATTAGAATACAAAGATGAGAACGCGGAACGGCAACATGTTTCCGTTCCGCCACGCTACAGTTATAGTGGTAGAAAGAGAGAGACAGTGGAATAAGCAAAATCAACGGATCGTGGCTGGATCAAAAGTGTGCAAATGTAAGTATATATATATATACTTACATTTGTCTTTAATTCAAAGGAAATATAAATAATGAACGCATCACATTTAAAACAGTAATAAGTACGTACGTAATATTATCACATGGTAACAGCACGTATTATGGCAAAAATAAACATCGGCTGATTTGAAAAGATTTATTATAGTAATAATAGTAATCTCAGGACAATTCACACAGCTTCATCTAGACCCAAGTTAAGCTAGCTGAAGATTATGTTATGGGTACTAGACAACTGATATAAATACAAAGTTTTTTTTCGTAAATACATATATATTATCTATACATAGAAAACACCCAGACCGTTACAAACAATCATACTCATGAATACAAATGTTTGCAGCGTGCGAGGAATCGAACCCTCGACCACCAAGCAGGAATCAAAGCAGTGTGCTAGCTAAATCGCTAGACTACCGACAACTAGCTGTACACGCGACTTCGTCCGCGTGGAATTTAACTATATTTTAGAAAAATAAAGTTAAATTCAACACGGACGAAATCCCGTGTACAGCTAGTCATCAATAAAAAAACACGTAGGTATCTCTAATATATTATACACTAGCTGTTCCCGCGACTTCGTCCACGTGGTTTTTAACTTTATTTTTCTAAAATAAAAGTAGCCTAAGTTACTCCTTATTACATCAGCTACCTGCCAAAAAAAGTCCCGTCAAAATCGGTCCAGCCATTTCAGAGATTAGCCGGAACAAACAGACAGACAGACAAAAATTGTAAAATATGTTATTTTGGTGTATGTACCGTATTTATATTCATATGCAAGTAGTAAAAAACGGTTATTTCAATATTACAAACAACAGGCTTCAACATTCTCAAGTACCACAAAAAAGATGTTTTTATTAAAAACAAGGTGTTCCCGCGACTTCGTCCGCGTGGAATTTAACTTTATTTTTCTAAAATAAAAGTAACCTAAGTTACTCCTTATAAATCAGCTACCTGCCAAAAAAAAGTACCGTCAAAATCGGTCCAGCCATTTCAGAGATTAGCCGGAACAAACAGACAGACAGACAGACAGACTAAAATTATAAAAATAGTTATTTTGGTATATGTACCTTATATATATTCATATGCATGTAGTAAAAAACGGTTTTTTCAATATTACAAACAGACACTCCAATTTTTATTAAATGTATAGATGTATAGATTATTATTTATTTATTTATTTATTTATTCATCCAAAATAATACAAATTGTGTAGGATAACGTAATAGTAACATTACAGTAAAATTTTGTCAATAACATAATAGCAACTTAAACATTAAATCTCGGTATATCTATAGACTAGTTGGCCCCAGCGACTTCGTCCGCGTGAAATTTTATTTTATTTTTCTAAAATAACAGTAGCGTAAGTTACTCCTTATTACATCAGCTACTTGCCAAAAAAAGTCCTGTCAAAATCGGTCCAGCTATTTCAGAGATTAAACAAACAGACAGACAGACAGACTGTACTATGCTATACTATGTATTGATTGATATACCTAAAATAAATATAATATCTGAGGTTTGAACAAAAACTCAAAGGGTAATTTATTTTGAAAAAGTATTTTGAAAATACCTATTTTGCTTTTAGTGTTATAGTACTTTAACTGTTATGTTTTAAGTAACAATGTTTAATTATAATTAATACTACTGCACCAACACTCCGATCGTGCAAAAAAATTTGCTGTTTCATTATTTTTTAGTTCAATATATATACCTAAGTTCTGGGCTAAGGGGGGGGAGAGTCATGACGCCCCCATGACTATGACCTCCATGACGCTATCCGCCGTTGCGTCTTCTCTTTATTCGCTCACGTTGTTACACACAAAAAATAACAAGTATTGAGGTTTGATAGTCACGTTACTCCAGACTGATTTCTATAAATATTTAGATTAGGTAGACTATTATTTTTGAAATACTAGCTAGACATTATTAAGTTACTGTAGCCATAATGTAGTAGCCCAAACGTGCCAATGAGGAAGCCCTTGGCAAATGCTGCACCCTGATTGGCCCGTTTGAATTGGATCAAGAACTGCTCGTATGCCAAAAAGGTGGATTTGTATAAAATCGTGTATAAATCGCTTAATTATTATTATTACTCGTCGTGACAGTTGTGGCTCAAAACGGATCAACATTTATATATGGTCATCTGGCATTAGATCAACAAAAGGCCTCCGGATCAACAAGTGAAAAAGGATCAACAAAAAACTAACTATACGGCACGTCTGAGCCACAAAGTGCCCAAGGGGATATTTATATATATATATATATATATATATATATATATATATATATATATGTACATGATATATGACTAATCACACTATGTACTACGGTTAGTTATCTACGCTTAGTGCAAAGTCCATTTGCATATATTTAGGAACCTTCATTCCGTTACTTTATACATATATCCTTTGAGATAAGATTGAAAAATATTATTCCTTTACAAATGTGCCTAAAATGATCTTGTGTCAATTGTTTTCTAGAATATACTCGGACTTTGTTCATTCGAATGCCCGTTTTAAATAAGTATTATAATTGTATACTCAAGTTTTTTTTTACATATTTATATATGTATCAAATGACGGCATCGGCAGTTTACGATATACCTTCCAATGGTCGCGGGTTCGATTCCTCACACGATACTAATATTTGTATTCACGAGTACGGCTGTTTCTATCGGTCTCAATGTTTTCTATGAATAATAAATAAACCGCTTCAAAATCCGTTGCGTAGTTTTAAAGATTTAAGCATACATAGGAACAGACAGCGACAGCGACTTTATTTTATAATATGGAATGATATAATTATTTATTACAAATTCAAAATATCTCTATTCATATAGGTCTATTACAAACTCTTATGATATGTCAAATCTACCGACAGTTCCGAATGATTTCGAGATGAGAACAACTGACAAGAAAATCAGCTCGTATTCTTTTCAACTAAATGTTGTACATGTTTACAATAATACACAGTAATTTTTGAACTTACATTTAGGAGAATAGAGTGACCTTGACTGTAGTTGTACAGTATCCATAAACACACTCAGTTGTGTGAATTATACTATTTAATAATTATAAGAACCTATAAATCTAAATATATATAACTCAAAGGTGACTATCAGACGTAGTGATCTATCCACGCACAGCCCAAACCACAGGACGGATCGGGCTGAAATTTGACATGCAGGTAGATTTTATAATATAGACATCCCCTAAGAAAGGATTTCGATTAATTCTACCCCCAAAGGCATAAAATAGGGGATGAAAGTTTATATGAAACTTTGTCAATTTTAAACCGATCGGGCTGAGACTGTGCATGCATAAAGCTACTATGACATAGACATCCCCATAGAAAGGATTTTGATAAATTCCAGCGCTAAGAGGATAAATTAATGTGAGCGAAGCCGCGGGCAGAAGCTAGTACTTTATATTCCAATATATTGTGCATGTTTTGGTTGAAATAATTAATTTTAAATTCAGTATGCGTTAACAAAGCGACTCAGAAATCATTGCAAAATGGAGTTTGCCCGCGCGATGAGTAAGATATCACACAAAGGATTTTAATGTCAGCAATGAAACGAGTTCATACATCACCATACATTAAACTGCTATCAATATTATATTATTCTAGCAAATGTTGTTTTACCATATAAATTTAAGTACTAATATCGCTATTAAAAAATAGGGGTTGGTGATGGAAGGGTCAAAATTTTGGGTTGTAAGTATTTTTATGAAACATAATAAAAAAAATTAAATAAAAAAATTTTCCCAAAAAATAAAAGAAATACGGTGTAATAGCGGTGGACAACCCTTGTCACTTAGGAGTATGAAAAATAGATAGTAGCAGATTCTCAGACCTACTGAATATGCGTATAAAATATCATAAAAATCGGTCAAGCCGTTTCAGAGGAGTATGGTAACTAACATTGTAACACGAGAATGTTATATATAAGATATATACCTACTTAGTGATTACAAATTAGATTACTCTTGGCACTTAATATAGATTTGATTTGAATTCAAGATTAAAATAAAAAAAATCACGTGCTACCATGTATTTGACACACACACACACACATAGAAGTATAGTCTTTAATTCATTCATTCATAATTTAAGAGCTGTGCTCTTGTCGGTGGAGCTCCAGCCACCTTCGTCTTTAATTATAGAACCTTAATAATGTAATTAAAATATTTAATTAAAATTAATTATGGTCTACCACAAGTTTCTTGTCTCATTCTTCTTGTGATGAGTCTGCATTCCGAATGAGCGGTAGAATAAAAAAAATGTGACTATTCAAATGTGCTTATATTAAGTTTATTTGAATAAAGATTATTTCTAATTCTATCTCTACTAGTTAAATGAAATGATGATGATAACGTGTTTTTTTTTATTTATTGTGTTTATTATCCCATTTTTTTTTAAATGATGATATTAACTACTTGAGCCACGATTTGATACGGCTAATATAACGTGATGTTACATAGTGTTTCCTGTGTGTGTGCAGATGAGAAGATTATCCTCAAGTCTGTGTCCGGGCGGCTGCGGTCCGGCGAGCTCACGGCCATCATGGGCCCGTCCGGCGCCGGCAAGTCCACGCTACTCAACATACTCACCGGATACAGGTCAGTCGATAGTAGTCGATACCCATATCTTAATCTATACATATAAATAAAATTGGAGTGTCTGTTTGTAATATTGAAATTACCGTTTTTTACTACATGCATATGAATATAAATACGAAGCATACACGAAAATAACATATACACCAAAAAACCACTTTTTAAATTTTTTGTCTGTCTGTCTGTCGGTCTGTGTGTTCCGGCTAATCTCTGAAATGGCTAGGCCGATTTTGACGGGACTTTTTTTGGTAGGTAGCTGATGTAATAGGGAGTAACTTAGGCTACTTTTATTTCAGAAAAATACAGTTAAATTCCACGCGGACGAAGTCGCGGGAACAGCTAGTCTTAAATATTATAAATGTGAAAGCAGTCATGTTTGTTACGCTTTCACGCAAAAACTACTGAACAGATCATCATGAAATTTTGTACACATGGTCTTGGAAGTATTACAATGAACATAGGAGGATACTTATTTTGATGATTTTGATGAAACTACAGTTATATAGCTTATGCGTCAGAATAACACATAGCCTATATTTGTATTGAAATTTATCGCGGGTGAAACGGCGGGCTCAGCTTGTACACTATACCTATTGTATTATTTTTATTGAAATCTAGACAAATCTAGAGAATAGAATTAAATCATAAAAATCTGGAGAAACTACAGCACAGAGTTTTTCAAGATTATATTAATGTTTCTTAAACTGAAGAGGAAACGCCACTACACATCTTATGTGGTTAGCCCACTCATGCATAAACGAAATATCACCTTTGGAAAGTTGATATCCTGAGGAGATAAAAACCATCACTCCTAAGAATATCCTTCAATTCTTGTCCCTCACGGGTCTAGGTAACGAGCTCTGAAAAAGGGCGAGCACAATAGATCTATGTAGGTCGCAGTGCTACAGGTGCTACAGGCACCTGACAATAGCCCAAACGACCCAAATAAAAAGGGTCAGCAACGCGTGACACCCCATTTACCGTCAGATTAGCCGTATGCATGTTAGCCACCATCGTAGTATAAAAAAATGTATTGCCTTCAGATGAGCCGTATGCATGTTAGTTAGTAGAATAAAAAAAAAATATTGCCTTGGAATAATCGATTGTCGCAAATTTTTGCATAAGGAAGGAGAGTAGCGGCTCAGCTTATCAATATTATATATTTATAACTACAACCCAGAACATCCGCATGGCAAGTACTATTTATTGATAAAATTATATCGACGTGATCTATAGTATAATGTGATAAACAGATTAACATTGCAAAATAATCAGTATCGTTATTTACTTATCGATACGTTTGAAGTTCCGGAATCGAATCCTGTAGCAACCCCTGTGGTTGAGGTGGTGTGCAATGTCATATGTCTGTATGTCACGGTCGAGTTGCCAACTTCAGTCGTCTAGTTGAACTTTGAGACTGTTGTTTATGTTGTGATAAAATTATAATCGCGTTGCATACAAAATATGGAATAATAATATTATTAATTAGAAATAATATAACATTGTTGTTCAAGGAGAAATCGGTTAATGTAGTTGTTGGAAATGTTGAGTCTTATATGTTACTAGATGTGCCCGCGACTTCGTCTGCGTGGAATAGTGACGCTGACCAAATTAAGAAATAATTTAAGCCACAAAAGCAAGAAATGGTTGATCGTTCTAGCTTCAAAATTGGCGAATTTTCATAACAACTTTCTCCCCCTGTTTTTTTTTTAAGTACAATGTTTATAACCTTTGAATGTCATATTTATTTATATTTAATCAACAGCCTAAAAATAAGCTTTAAACTTTAAAAATGACGATACCATCATACAAGTTTTCATCACTCCTTTCAACCTCTTACAACCATTTTTTTCCAGGCCTATGTCCTTTTAAAGGGACAAAACTATCTGTGTACCAAATTTTATTGAAATCGCTTCAGTAGTTTTGGCGTGAAAGCGAGACAGACAGACAAAGTTACTTACACATTCATAATATTAGTAAAGATATACTAGCCGCTTTCCGCGAAATCGTCCATGTGGAATTAAAATAAAATAAATTTCTAAATTAAAAGTAAGCGTAAGTTACACGACAAAGTAAATTGCTTGATACAAACATTTGCATTCCCTGTGTGTGAGTATGATTATGTGTGTGTCTGTATGTATGTGTGTGTGTGTGTGTGTGTGTGTGTGTGTGTGTGTGTGTGTGTGTGTGTGTTGTGTGTGTGTGTGTGTGTGTGTCTGTGTGATAGTCCTGTGTGTGTCTATTAGTGTCTGTGTGTGACATAAGATGTGTGTGTCTGTAGTGTGCACGTGTGTGTGTCTGTATGTATGTGTGTGTGTGTGTATGTGTGTGTGTGTGTGTGTGTGTGTGTGTGTGTGTGTGTGTATGTGTGTGATGTCTTGTTATGACGCTGTCGTCTATAACTTGCTGCACTCGAGTGGGGCCGGGCGGCGTGTAACGTTGCACAACGCGACTCCAACTAAACTATGTCACTATGACATTTACGACACATGTATATATGTATATGTTACTTTTAAAATAATACAACCGTTAAATTAAAGTAATGTTATGACTACAATATATACTGTAGATATCAGCTTTGATATATCAAAAATCCTAACTAATATATGATCGGTTAAATAGAAAAATGGCATAATATTCAAAATGTACAATTTTTTTCTAAGACATGCATTTAAAGTTTTTAAAATTATTTAAAATATTTTTCTCTTTAATGTTTTAAATTTATTTTTAAAAGTATTTAGATAATGATTAAGACGGCGTGGTTAATTTAATTGACTTATATGAAAGGAGGCAATTTTAGCTTCTGATTTTGAAAAATGACATTTTTCTATTTAACCGACGATATTAAATATGAAATTGAGTTTGTTTCGCTTTCTGTACTGTAACTGGTATGTTTTGTTACTCAAGTACTATAACTATTCATTTATTTATATCTACTTTGCTATGTGGAAGTATGTATTGCTTGTTTTGGGATGGAACTGACTCATGATATACAGCTCACGCTAGTTTGGGAGCAAGGACGGAATCAAACTACACTGATCAAAGTTTGAATTAATAAATAAGTGTTCCCACATAATTCTTTATAATGGATTTTTGAACAACATTTAATTAAAAGATCAACACGCAAGTTTCTCGCTCGTTCTGCTTGTGACGAGTCAGCGTTCCGAATAAGTGGTGGAATAAAAAAATGTGACTATTCAAAAGTCCTTAGTTAAGTTTATTTGAATAAATATTATTTGTATATCTATTTTACGCTGTCACTTATCATTAAAAACGTATACCTATATAGCATTCGTGTTGCAGACCCTACTGCATACATAATAATAATCTCAGGACAATTCACACAGCCCTATCTAGTCCCAAGTTAAACTAGCTAAAGCTTGTGTTATGGGTACTAGATAACTGATACAAATACATAGATAATTTTTTTTTGTAACTACATACATATTATACATAGAAAACATCCAGACCGATACAAACAATCATACTAATGAATATAAATGTTTGTGCCGTGCGAAGGATTGAACCTTCGACCATCAGAGGTAAGGCGGTGTGCTAAACCGCTAGACCACCGAGGCCGTCACAACAATATCAAGATTATTTTATACTATAGATATTTCCTTGTTGCCAATCTGGATTCAGTGTAATGTAGGTACATAGAGTATGATAGTGTAACAAATAGCAAAATGTACGTCAGCAACGCAATAACATTAGTAACCGGACCTTCCTTATCATCATGGTTATATCTGGGTCAAGCATCCGATTGCAGCGCACGAGACCTTTGGTAGCCGCCACGTGACGGAGCTGGCCACTGCACGCTCATCCTAGACCCCTCCTCATATGCCACCAACAATGCTTTTCGTTAACTATTCTAATGAGATTCTTGTCAGTTCTTCTCATCTCGAAATTATTCCGAACTGACGGTAGATATTATAAGAGTCTGTAATAGACCTACATGAATTTTGAATTGAAAGCTGTTGGCCGCAGCTGGCGTTTACAGCTTCACTACTTTCATATAGGACATTTTAGCCGCTTATGAATATGTAATTTTTTTTGTACTATATTTTTCCCCTACCGTCCAGTTCAGTATATAAATCCAATTGAGAAGAACTGGCAAGAAACTCAATTGAATTACTTTTTTTTAAAGCCAGTTTATTTACAATGTATATTTATATATATAGGTGTCTATGTGTAACATTAAAAGAAAATCCCGTGCATGAACAACTACTGCCATGCACGCTCGTCATTCAAGTAATTGTTTAGTGAGTTAGGCTTCGCTCAGTAAATATGATTTAACAGATGTTTTTAATTTATTTAAGGGTAATTCCAATATATCCTTTGGTATGTTATTTAGTAAGGAGCTCTTCAAGTATTAGGTAAGCAGATTTATTAACGTAAGTTCAATTATTACAATTATTTACCCCCCAACCCCCTTGTCAGCAAAAGCTCTTACCCCCTCTCCCCATAATTACGTAAACATTTTTCAATTAATGTATTGTTTTTTTTTAATAAATACAATGTGAGGGTTGCTATTCGTGTAAAAAAACAATGTATACATTGTATAATGTTATAAATATACAGGCTTTTAAAAAAAAAGTAAATCTATTGAGTGTCTTGCCAGTTCTTCTCAATTGGATCTATATACCGAACTGGATGGTAGGGATAAAAAATAAAATTATAATGTAAAACTTGACGTTCATAAGCGGCTAAAATGTCCTACATGAATAAATGATTTTCGAATTTACTATTCCTCATTAATATCAATGCCTTCCCCCCAATATATCAATTAAAATGTATGTGGCATTATGGCTTGTTGTACAAGGCAATTGTGATTACTGGTAATTAAGGCCGGCCTTATACAGCTAAAGGGCAAGAGATCAATGTACTGTGTATACACATCGTTGCTCATATTGAAATTAAAACCAATTAGGGACTAGGACAAAACTGTATACTGAAATTGCTTTTATAATCATTGACAATTTTTTTTTATTTTTTTTTGCAATACAGTCATATATCATACATAGCAAATATATAAAATACAAGTTTCTACTTATTTTAGGTACCAGGGAACAATTTAAATTGTAAATATTGGATGCAAAAAAAAAAATATTATTATAGCAATAGGAGCAACACACAAGTTTCTTGCTCATTCTTCTTGTGATGAGTCTGCATTCCGAATGAGTGGTAGAATCAAAATATGACTATTCAAAAGTGCTTGTAATGAGTTTATTTGAATAAATATTATTTCTATTTCATAAGAATTTATACATCTTTAGACTGTTTATCCTTATATTGAAACATTTTCTATATAAATTATTAAATATACCTTTAAAAATGTGAAAGGTTGTGAGTATAGATAGATGTTTGTTAGTCTTTCAGGTAAAAACTGCTGAATGGATTTGAGTGAAACTTTACAATAATATAGCTTATACATCAGAATAACACATAGGCTATAAATACACATAAATGTGTAAATTGTTCGACTATAACTTTAAAAAAAATTTCCTTGCTTGCTTGCTGTGCCCAACAGGGTCCATAATTAGCCTACTTTGAAATACACCTATATATCTATCTACTGTATAATTATGGAATGCAAAGCTATAATAAATAAATAAAGAAAAAAGTACAATTTCCATGTTTCTTTCCTGTAATACAATATACAAAGTAAAAAAAAAAGAGAGTTTACGCGATTTTCAGTAAAACGATAAGTTCTATGATAAAAATACCGCAGACAAAAATTGTAGATTATAAAATTATCTATAAAATAATTACACATTTGCTTATAGATAATTTAATACTTTTTTCCTAGGAACCACCGTTCCTGTATTTATGTATGATTGACCGGACTACAACCATACAGAAATTTTTGCCTGTGGGGTAATACTTTTTTCCTACGAGCCACCGTTCCAATAATTTTATGTACCTTCGAATATTTAAATAGACCGCACTGCAATCATATCGGGCGGATGTAATCACGTACTAGCTGCGTCCTATTGTTTGTTGTGATGCGCGCCGCGTACACTAATAGTCGTGTATACATGTAATTTGAATTTAATACCGATCACATACAACTGACATTCTGACTCTAAAAACTATGTAATAACAAATAATTACATAAAAAGTCTATATCATACTATACTCAATTATATTTAGACCGATATCGCAGGCTTCGGTGATCGTCTCGTTCAGTTCCCAGGCTCGTACAATCATCATGAATTTTTAAAATAAAGAATGTACATCTTTGGAAAAATAATGCAATCTTGTACCTTCTCTGCAAACTGTGAGAAGGATTATAACCTATCCATTGACCTGTTCTTTGTGCTCAACATCCTGCACAAAAGAGGATCTAAAAATTGCGACAAACAAATGTCGTCTCTACATTCTGGGGAAAATACATTTAGTTGCCATTGAAACGAAAGAAGAAGTTAAAACGGTAGACTTTTGTCGCCAGTATCCGAAATAAATGATCTTACATCACCCAGTTAGTATTGCATCTTAATATTAAAAACGCGAAAGTTTTTTAGTATGAATGTTTGTTAGTCTTTCACGCGAAAACTACTCAACGGCTTTTGATGAAACTTTACAGTTATGTTAATTGGGCGATATATATAAGTGGGTCAGCTAGTAAGAAAATAATCCAGTCAATCACTGCACCATACATACCTCCTCCGATCGATCCCCCGCCCGATTCAAACGGAGGGATCGAAATTACGACTTCCTGATCCGAGGTTCGAACCCCTAGCGGTGCCCTCAGTCAGCCGCTCCGTAAGTCCTTCCTTTGGTTTGGAGTGCCACCTGCTCTCGCCCCCTATCGTCCGGTGAATTGTGTGATTAGAGTGGTTGAAAAAAATAAACCATAAATACACGATGAGCTACTATAGAGTATAGAGTATAGTTTAACTAACGAATTAGTCTGCGCAGTGACATATTGAGCCTTTATATGGAGTTAAGGAAAATACGTGACAACAGCCGCAAACAGTTATCTTCCATTCCCATGGGAAATTCCAAAGACCCAAATACACGTATATTTAGTGACACGGACAGGTCAAGTGATTAAATATATAATGTATAATAGTTATGAAGCTACCTTTGTAATACAAAACTGATTGCTTTATTCTCTATTCTGCTTTGACGACTCTAAAATGCAATCTAAATAAGGTAATGTAAAAGTGCCCTTAATTTCTTAGATAATAACTAGCTGTGCCCGCGGTGTTACTCGCGTTATATTTCAATATTAAATATAGCCATTGTTATTCTGATGCGTAAGCTATATTACTGTAAATTTTCATCAAAATCCGTTCCCTATTTTTTGCGCGGTAGAGTAACAAACAATCATACAAACTACATTTAAATATTTATATCAGTGGTCTAGTATCAATAACACAACTTCTGCTTAGTTTGGGACTGGATGGTGTTGACTAGGACTAATTGAAATATCCAGGGATATATACAAACAATCATATTTATAAATACAAATGTTTTGCGCCCTGTAAGGAATCGAACCCGCGACCGTCGAATGCAAAGCGGCTTGCTAAAACGACCACTGCGGCCTGCAATATATATTGAGATTGTGAACATAGTCACCATCCGAGTTGGTTTCATTGATTGTTATAGAAATGAATGAAGATACCAAATGTGTTAGTATTGACTCACGCTTGACCGGTTTCCAAATCAACATGTGTGCAACAGCCAACGAGGTGCAGAGTGGATAGTACGGTGGTACGGTACCAACAAACCGGTAGAGAGTCTACCGTCCTTGACCACATATGATAATGATCAACACTGAATTTTTATGTCTAATTTATTGTTCACTATATAGGTATTTTTTTAATATAAGGCCAGCCTTCTCGCTGTACGTAATGCTATATAAATTTATCTTATATATAAAATTCTCGTGTCACAGTTTTCGTTCCCATACTCCTCCGAAACGGCTTGACCGATTCTCATGAAATTTTGTGAGCGTATTGAGTAGGTCTGAGAATCGGCCAATATCTATTTTTCATCCCCCTAAATGTTAGGGGTCAACCCTAAACCCTAATTTTTTTTTTATTTTAAGGCAAAACAACGTTTGCCGGGACAGCTAGTATACTATAAATACATATACGTTAGATATGAGCAGATATGATCGTTGCATGCTGCGTCCTAAACTCAAGTTATCCTGCATATTGACCAATTGAATTAGAGATTAAAATATCATTTATTATATTTAGAGGTAGAATAATGTCATTTTCTTTTTATTAATAAAACGTTTTTTTTTTTATTTCAATATATAGGAAACCTAATATATATATATAGTAAACACAAGATATATATAGCTCTATAAGTACATTGAACTAAAAAACTAGAAGAATAATTATATTGACTAGTGGTCACTTAGTAGTCGAAATATGACCATAAATAATTTAAATTATAAGTTTGAACATTATTAAGGTTATATTGTCAAAGATTATACTTGTAATGCGTGTGTTCAAATAAAAAAAGCACATTACAAATACCATGTAGATAGTGTGTGTAATGTGTTTTTATTGATTTAATGATTTTTTAGGCATAATTAGAAAAAATATAATTTTTCTCTCTTTCTCTATATATAGACAATAAGTGTATTAAATTGCATATAATTTCATTCGCGTAATTTTCGTAAAAAGAGGTACAAAGTTTTTGCTTCAAGTCTTATTATAACCATTGGAGACAATGTGCCTATAAAAGTGAAATAAGTCTAAAAGAAATCTCGTCATTTAATAATTTTGATATTGTTAGATTAGGGGAGTATTACATAAGCAGATTTAGTACAGTTATTTACACCCAACCCCCTTGTCAGCAAAAGTAAAGAAAGCTCTTACCCCCTCCCCTCATGCTTACGTAAACATTTTTCGATTAATGTATTATTTTTTTAACAATGACAATGTGAGGGTTGCCATTTGCCTAAAAAAGTCAATACGACCGATGACGTAATCATCTAGACTCCTCTACCCCCCATGTCATCCAAAATAAGGAAATCAAAGACCCCCCCCCCCCCCCCCCCCCATAGTGACCCTTGAACGACCCCTTATATATGTTACTAATTGTATTTATTTGTTGTCAGGACCTCTGGAATGGAAGGCAGCATCACAGTGAACGGCATGGAGCGGAACCTGTCCAGCTTCCGCAAGATGTCCTGCTACATCATGCAGGACAACCAGCTCCACGGGAACCTCACCGTGGAGGAGGCCATGGAGGTGGCCACCTCGCTCAAGTTGCCCAGCACCACCTCCAGGACAGTCAAAGAAGAAATGGTACGTTGCTATCATACCAACTTAGTGCCACTTCTTAAATTTATGTACTTACATGTCTTTATATATAAAAATTACGTGTCACGTTGTTTGTCCGCGATGGACTCCGGAACTACTAAACCGATTGCAAATTTGATTGACACATTGTGTGCAATTTGGTCCAACTTGAAAGATAGGATAGCTTACATCTCAATTTATGTATAGTCGCAATATTATTTTATTCAAGAACCTTAGTTACAGCAACAGTTTAATCTATACATATAAATAAAACTGGTGTGTCTGTTTGTAATATTGAAATAACCGTTTTTACTACATGCATAAATACCGTACATACACCAAAATAAAATTTTTTACCATTTTTGTCTGTCTGTGTGTTCCGGCTAATCTCTGAAATGGCTCAACCTATTTTGACGGGACTTTTTTAGCAGATAGCTGATGTAATAAGGAGTAACTTGGTTATTTTTAGCTTACAGCTCAATTTATAATCGCAATACTATTTTATTCAAGAATCCTAGCCACAGCACCCGTGGCCGGGTCTGCTAGATCTGCTAGTATATAAGATATCTTTATTAATATATATACATTAACACTTTTTAATAGCATTTAATTTTCCTTGAAACTATAAACGGCACATTCGTAGTACCGGCTCACTTAAAGCAAATGAGGAAAAAATATCATATCATTTTTATAGAAACAACATTAATGTTTTTATATAAATAATAAAAAAAACAATGAACACAACACATAAAACAGAATATGGATATTAGAGTTAAGTAACAACAAATTAGAAACACCACAAGTTAATACCAACTGCTGAGTTTCACCAACGTACCACCCGCCAGAAATTAAAATACCATCCTGATCATCTGGATGAATGGCGGTCCTCCACAGTGCGGTTTTCTAGAAACTTTTTGCCACGCACAACCACATTGTGGAATCACTTTCCAGCAATGGTATTTCCGACCCGATACGATATTGAAACCGTCAAGAAAAGAGCTTATTCCTTTTTAAAAGGCCGACAACGTACTTGCACTTCCCCTGGTGTTGCGGGTGCTCATGGGCGGCGGTAATTACTTACAATCAAGTGAGCCGCATGCTCATTTGTCCCCTGTGTTATAAAAAAATCACAAGTTATGACAAAAGAGCAAGCCAGCCGATTCTGATTTGTCATGCTCGAGAACATGTGCCACTTTTAGGGACATATCTACTCTCGTCACTGTTACTAAATTAATAAAAACTCAAGATAATTCAACGTCACCTGGTTACCCAGAATTGTTTTTATGGGTATTACACTCAATTATATGACAACTGATATATATAAATACATTTTTTTAAATACATAGTAAACACCCAGACCAATACAAACTTGTGAATACAATTGTTTGTACTGTGCAAGGAATCGAATCCTCGCTAGTTCGATTGGATGCTGGCCATTTCTTCAAAGTTTGGACTAACTTAGCCATACACAGGCCTTGTATCACTGTGGTATTCGGAGTTGTATAAGGGGGCGGGGAGAGGGTGTTTTTTTTAATTTTTTGTCCGTCCCTCCTCCCCTGGTGAGATGTCGTGAGATTTTATTCAACCCTCTCTCCCAATCCCCTAATCTCACGTGAGATTTTTCAAAATGTGAGTTTCTTACGTAAACGCGTTGGATTGTTATTGTAAAAAGAAAAAAAAATGCTTCGTGCTTTTAGTTACGACTAGTTAAGACTAGCAATCAATATTGCTGAGAGTTATAAGTGTAATAAGCATGTACAGTCTGGATTAAATGGACCAAAATAGAATATATTTTTTGGTGTCAATAAGAAAAAATCGTGATAAATATCGTGACCTCTCTCCAACGTAAGATTAAATGAGATTTGACTCGACCCCCTCGATGTGTTGTACATATAAACCTTCCTCTAGAATCGCTCTAACTATTAAAAAAAAACGCTTCAGAATCCCTTGCGTAATTTTAAAGATTCAAGCCTATATAGGTACGGACAGACAGCGACAGCGAGTTTGTTTTATACTATGTAATGATGATGAAGGTGGACAAGAGCGGTGGCCGTCTGTACACATCAAGTGAGAGTGTGTCAATTGTAAAATGTGTAATGTGTAAAGCTATTGTACTTACACTTACACAGTTGACACAGCGCTCGCACTCGCGGTTGTAAATAAATATATTGTGGACCTCTTGATTCCATTGAAATAGAAAGGTGACCAAACTTAACAGCATGCTAAAAGAGAAAAGATTACCAATACCAAAAAATTTAAATAATATTATTGTTGTTTTTTTTTTCATATATATATATTATATATCTCCCTTTGGTGGGGTAATAGACTTATCATTTGCGGATAAAAATCACCAAACAATGACAGTATAAATGATAAATGATGAGGATGGAGATTTATTATTATTATTATTATTATTACACCGGTGCGATGAACTTACAATATTGTTGGATATATTTCGTAGATATAGTTGTACCGTATATAGTGACAGGCGACCCGGGGTCAACCCGTACCGTATATCTCCATCACTACTTTTATTTCATTCTGTTATCTAAACAATGAATTTACAATTAGCAAACAATGCAATTGTATACAACACACTTTGTTTTTATGACTGGAACAGCCAACAAGATGGCGACCTACCTTAAACTTTGTAACTCACTAAAATGAATAACATCACTTTCTTGATATTTATCATTATATTTCTCCCAAATCACATAATATATTTTAAAATTATAGCATATATATATGTTATTCTGATGTATAAACTATAGTACTATAAAGTTTCATCAAATTGTAATTGTAATTAGTATAAGTAAGTTATCTGTGGTATAAGTAAGGAGCCAACAGAATATCAGCGCTGCAGAGTTATCTGTAGCATTATGCTGAGTTGGCTGCCTTTTCACTTTTGCGGCACATAAAGTCACCTACATTTCTTTTATTAATTCGTGTTTTTTCTGTATCTCATGTATGTTATGTGTCTGTAATTGTGAATAAAGAATTCATCCATCCATACTTAGAAAATTTCTCGTTTTGAAATATTAGGAAGATATTAAAAAAATGTACATAAAAAAGAAGAAGAATTTTATATATCATGTATTGGTATTGGACAAATACATGATATATAAATAGAATAGAATAGAATAGAATAGAAAATCATTTATTCAAATAAACTTAATTTAAGCACTTTATATATCATGTATTGGTATTGGACAAATACATGATATATAAAATTTCATACAAGACCTCACCTTTCCTTTTTTTATATATACCACATTGAATTAATATATTTGAATTTCAGATCCACGAAATCCTGGACACGCTCAGTCTCCTGGAACACCAGAAGACGATGACGTCCAACCTGTCCGGCGGACAGAAGAAGCGGCTCTCGATCGCGCTGGAGCTGGTGAACAATCCGCCAATCATGTTCTTCGACGAGCCTACGTCGGGCCTGGACAGCTCGTCGTGCTTCCAGTGCATTTCGCTGCTGAAGGACCTGGCGAGGGGCGGGAGGACCATCATCTGCACCATCCATCAGCCGTCGGCGCGACTGTTCGAGATGTTCGACCAGCTGTACACGCTCGCAGACGGACAGTGCGTCTATCAAGGCAGCACCGGACAGCTGGGTGAGACACGCATCACTTATTTTCGTGATCTATCATCATCAATCTAGTCTTGAGGTCCTGGTGGTGTAGTGGTTTAGCGTGCTGTTTTTACATTTGATGGTCGCGGGTTTTTTTTCTTGTGGATGGTAATGGAATGGTGCACCCGCCTGCGCTAGCGGTTTACGCTGGCGGGGCACCAGTGGAGCATGATAAGATGAGCATGAGATTAGGTCAGTTAGTCAGTGGTAAATTCACCATGAATTTATCACGATGGTTTCCAGGGGTACCGCGTGGACGTACATTGCTAGTTTGCTAGTAATGGGGTTATTAGTCCACATTACTAACAGTCCCCTTTTCGCCCATGGTCCTGGGTTCGATTCCTGGCACGAATCAGACATGTGACTGATAGATACTGATACATATATAATACATAGATTTTTTATTGTAAATACGTACATATTATATATAGGAAACAACCAGACCGATACAAACAATCTCATGAATACAAATGTTTGTGCCGTGCGAGGAATCGAACCCGCAACCATCGGTCGTAAAGCGGTGTGCTGGACCGCTAAACCACCGAGGTCGTCTAATGCTCAATACGCTTGGTTTAACATAATATATAAAACCTATAAAAAAGTACTATTTAATATTGTGACATGATGTTTACGCTTATCTTTATTTGACCCGTGTCTATGAGTCATTCCGCGTTACTGCGGAGTATAAATGCAATCTGTAACCACATCCTACAACCCTTTAATTCTCGGGATGATAACCGATGAGTAACTAACCCCACTTTGTTATTTTGTCATCCTGAAGATAAAAAAGGTTCACGTTCCACATATTTTGAAACTGTCATAAGAAAAAAGAAAAAGAAACCCAAAAAAAACCCTACATTTGGCTCTCTTTTCAATAAAGTTAATCCTCTCCTGAAGATGCGACACCCTTCAACAACCACAATATTGTGGTTGTTAAAGGGTCGGCAACGCGCACGTGACGGCCCTGGTGTTTCGGGTGTCGACTACGGTAACTGTTTACCAGCATGAGCGGTGTGCTTGATTACCACCATATCAAATCAAAAGTCATTTATTCAAGTAGGACATTTTAACCACTGATGATGGTCAAGTTTTTTGTATTAATATTTTTCCCTACCGTCCAGTTCAGTATTCAGATTCAATTGAGAACAACTGGCGAGTGACTCAACTGATTTCCTTTTGTTTCAAAGCCGGGTTAGTTACATTATATAAGTGTCTATGTCTAACATTAAATGAAATGTATCAAGAAGTTACAAAGTCGTCACGATCGTAGGGCGCCCGGCGCTTGTATAAAATGTAGTATTGTTTTAAATGTAGCAGTAATTAACGCAGTCAAGGAAGCCGGTAAGTGATTTGCGTAACGAGTGGTCGCTGCAACGATACCACAATAGCAGATGTGCAATTAAAGCTAATCGTAGCGTGAAATCAACGGACAAAAACGTGCATTCTACCATCTGACCCGCCTGATCGATGTGTAATACATAAACGTATCTATTTATTATTAATTTTGGTTATGACATGTGTACACGCAGATAACCGGCTAAAATGTCCCACATGATTACTTTTGATTTGATAATCTTAGGGATACAAGCTCATATTGACATAAGATGTTGTTATTGTATCTTAAAATTACCTTCCCTTTCTTTATTTTTTATTAACAGTAATATATTAATAATAGTAATAGTAATTAATAGTAATAATAGTAAATATTAAAAAAAAACATCGTAAACATAGGAGGCGAGTGCAGATGGCATTCCAAACCAAAGGAAGGACTTATGAAGCGGTTGAAAGCCAACCCCTGCCTGATATATACGACTTTAATCTGAGGGCACTGTTAGGGGTTCGAAACCCACTTCAGGCCGTTATAATTTCGATCCCCGTTTGAATAGTCGTGGGATCGATCGACGATGCGTCAGTGTGGAGAACGTGGTTGATTGCGTTGTATTGTCTGGTTGAGGTCGTCGTCTTCGCCGTCGAGGACGGTGTCGTGTTTTGTTCAAAATATGTTGTTGATACAATGTGTCTGTCTGTATGTGTGCAGTGGACTGGCTGGGCAGCCTGTCGCTGCAGTGTCCGTCGTACCACAACCCGGCGTCGTTCATCATCGAGGTGTCGTGCGGCGAGTACGGCGACCACACCGGCACACTCGTGCGAGCCATCGACAACGGCAAGAACGACATCAGGCACGTACCACACATACGACATAATTATATAAACACTTCACGCACTCCATGCAACCTATTACACTATGCTAGCTGACAAAACTATATTCACTACATAAGTTACTAATATATAGTATTTTAGATCTTGTCTTTTCCTACACGATTTGTGTGGTTTCTGATGAATGAGTAATAAAATTTAATACTTCATTTAGAAGCAGTTTTGAGTAGACTCAGCCTAAAAGAATATAGATAGTTAAAAATCTTGATTAAAGTTATGAGGTTTGAAACAGAAAAACTTAATCTATAATATGTATAATTGTTTTACTTACCTTGGTAAGTCAAATCTGGTGCCTCTCAGTATGTATAAAATGTAATATCTCTATAACGATTATATTCAATTGCTTTTAAAATTACAATTCATAATATTATAATTAATTCAGGTGTACTTTGTGTGATACGACGGTGTATTGTTAAAACTAACACGTGTCTGCACAAACTTTCACCCCTTCTTCAATATTTTATGGGAAAAAAGATGCTATGATCGTCCTCTTAAAGCCTCTTATCAAATGTCATTAAAGTTCGATCAGACGTTTACTTGTGAGGAAGGTAACAAACAGATAGACAGACACACTTTCATATTATACGCATTATAATGGTATATAATGTATAAATCTACGCAGAAGTTTTGTCCAAACATATAAACGTGAGAATGTGTTGGTGCGTGGTAGGAATGGCAATAAACCTACGCAGAAGTTTTGTCCAAACATATAAATGTGAGTATGTGTTGGTTCTGGGTGCAGGAATGGGAAGCCATTCCCGGCGTCGAAGGTGCCCGACTACAACAACAAGAAGGACATGGAGCAGTCGCTGAAGCCGGAGCTGAACAAGAATGAGCTCGCAAACTTGCAGGACAAGTTCAGGGACGAGCCCTCCGCCGCCGACGGGAACGGACACGGCAACCTGCGGAACGGCATCCTGCAGTACGCCGCCGCTGAACTCGCCAAGGGGAAAGGTGACATACACATCATCTCTCTCTCTCTCTATCTCTATCTCTCTCTCAGCTACCTGCTAAGAAAGGTCCCGTCAAAATCGGTCCAGACATTTCAAAGATTAGTCGAAACAAACAGACAGACAGATAAAAATTGTTATTTTAGTGTATGTACCGTATTTATATTCATATGCTTGTAGTAAAAACCGTTATTTAAATATTATAAACAGACACACCAATTTTATTTATATGTATAGATGTATGTGCCATCATTGAGTCGAAAATAATTAGAATCGCGTAAATACAATGTGAACTTGAGAATGCGAATGCGTCAGATAAACGAGGCCAAAGGTCCGTCAGCAGCGACGCGACGTTTCCTGTTCACTAATTATTCATTTATACCATTAGATAATTATAAATTCATAGCCAAGTAATTATACGGTTTCTTTAGTTGCTTACACTCGCGTCACTCGATAATCTATGGTTATTTCAATATACACGTCCAATGGCATATTACAGACTAGCTGATCCCGCTACTTCGTCCGCGTGGAATTTAACTTTATTTTTCTAAAATAAAAGTAGCCTAAAGAACTAAAGATTATTTTGTTCGTCTTAATTTATTCGTTTCATTGGGTACTGATAGGTTCAAACTAATAGATTTACTTCCTGCATCATCCGTTATTTTATCCCCTTAGGGGTGGAATTTATCAAAATCCTTTCTTAGGGAATGCCTACGTTATAGTGGTTTTATGCATGCAAAGTCTCAGCCCGATTGGTTTAAAATTGACGAAGTTTCATTCAAACTTTCATCCCCTATTTTATCCCCTTGAAGGTGGAATTAATCAAAATACTTTCTTAGCAGGACATTAGGGTATCTTCACGATAATAATTTAGTATTAGAAGTTTCGGAAATGTATACTAGATGTCGTTGCTTCATACATCCGCTACACAGTGTTAGTTTTTATGTTCGTTTAATAAATTAACCATATTCTTATATATTTAATATACCACTAAGTACAATAATATACTTTAGCTTCATTTCATCCGGGTCATTGGGCTCCCTAAAATATGGTCGAGCGCAGTGATGGCTGGATCATCTGTCATACTCGTGAACGAGTGCTGCTTGTAGGGACTGGTCTGCTCTTATCACTACGACTGATTTAATCTTATTGCATATTTATATTTGACACAAATAAATAGAATTAGGATTACGATGTACTAAGTATCCTTGGTCAACGAAATTGACGTCCTCTATGGAGGTTGAATAATAAAAGTTTACTAACCATAGCGTCTCTGGTTGCAGGCGAGGGTCTGGTGGTGCAGGTAGAGAAGGTGGAGCTGGAGAAGCAGGACAACGCAGCGGTGGCGCTGCTGGGAGACGAGGGGGGCAGAGCCCCACGGTACGCGACGTCTGAGCTGCGCCAGTTCTGGGTGGTGCTGAAGCGGACGCTGCTGTTCAGCAAGCGCGACTGGACGCTGATGTACCTGCGGCTGTTCGCTCACATCCTGGTGGGGTTCCTGATCGGCGCGCTCTACTACGACATCGGCGACGACGGCAGCAAAGTGCTGTCCAACCTCGGGTTCCTCTTCTTCAACATGCTGTTCCTCATGTACACCTCCATGACCATCACCATCCTCAGCTGTGAGTGACACGCTGTTTACTATTAGTAGTTTTTTTTTCTTTGTCCATCTTGCAATCATGTAGACGAGCCTTTCCCAAAGTGGGCGATAACGCCCCCTTGTGAGCGCTGCAGGCCTAAAGGGGAGCGTTGAGAGCCCCAGAAAAAAGAATTAAGTTTATTCACCGCTAATATAGCCCACAATAATTGATTAATTAAATTTGAACTTGTAGTGATTTTTAAGTAGGTGAAAAAATGGGGGCGCTACAAAATAACTTATTCTCAAAGTGGGCAGTAGACAAAATAAGTTTGGGAACCCCTGATGTAGATTGTGAGCATATGTAATAAGAAATACGTAATGGCTAATGGCAACAGAAACCGCCGGAGTCAAAAGAAGAGAAAAAAAAGAAATCGTGGTTTTACCACATTGCGTAATTAAAAAAAAATACAATGGCTTTGATTTTTTCCTACACACGGAAATCTATTTTCGTTTCTAACTTCGGTTTTATTCAGTTTATTTCTGAAGGTGACTGATATTGTTGAAGCTATTATACTATAGTTTTATATGTCTCTATATGACCAGCCTGCCCGAAAACCCGACTACTATAATTCTTAAATGGTAAATCTAATTATTAGGTATAATGTTTTGTTATACCATAATAAATTAATAAAGAAATTCAATATAACAGTCATGTATATATATAGGGTTAGTGAGTTAATCTAGGATAAAGTTTGTTTATGTAACTTATACGCTTATAGTTGGTTAATCAACGTACTTAACTAAAAAACATTTACTAGTTTTGAACATTTAAACAACATTTAAACATTTGACTAGCTGTGCCCGCGGTTTCACTTGCGTTAAATTTCAATACAAAATATAGCCTATATGTTATTCTGATGCATAAGCTATATTACTGTAAAGTTCCATCAAAATCCGTTCAATAGTTTTTGCATGAAAGAGTAATAAGCATCCATACTCACAAACCTTCACGTTTATTAAGATTTTATTGTATTTTATTAATACTAATAAAATTACACTTATTTTGAAGTAACTGTTATTCTGGCGTATGTGCCCCGTTATTTGTTATTGTTTCAATAGTTCAAATCGTGTGTTGTATGTTTACAGTTCCTCTAGAGATGCCTGTGCTGGTGAAGGAGCACTTCAACCGCTGGTACTCGCTCCGCTCCTACTACCTGGCCATCACCGTCTCTGACATACCGTTCCAGGTCTATATCAGTTTTGTTATATTTACATCCCACTGTTTTTCATGTGGTAATAGGCTATTGACTGGTCATTGTAAGATATGGATGCCAATCAGAGATAAATATTGAATTAATGATAATAATCTCAGGACAATTCACACAGCGCCCTAGTTCTCCCTAGATCCAATCCAATCTAGACCCAAGTTAAGCTAGCTAAAGCTTGTGTTATGGGTACTAGATAACTGATACAAATACATAGATATTTTTTTTCATAAATACATACACATTATACATAAAAACACCCAGACCGATACAAACAATCATACTGATGAATACAAATGTTTGTGCCGTGCGAGGAATCGAACCCGCGACCATCGGATAGTAAAACGATGTGGTAAACCACTAGACCACCGAGGCTGTCAAATAATTAACCTATATATTGAACAACATATATAGTTTAATTATTATATTTTTTAAAACTCATATAAATAAGCCGGTCGGTGGTAACTGATGTGTGTGTGTGTGTGTGTGTGTGTGTGCAGGCCGTGTTCTGCGTGGTGTACGTGGTGATCGTGTACCTGCTGACGTCTCAGCCGGCGGAGTGGGCGCGGTTCGCGATGTTCCTGTCGTCGTGTTTGCTGATCTCGTTCGTGGCGCAGAGTGTCGGCCTCGTGGTGGGCGCCGCCATGAGCGTGCAGGTACTCACCACCCAACTTGTGGACATTCTCATTCATTCTTTTGATTTAAATTCGTTTACATGATTCAAGAAAACCGAGGTTTTCCAAGAAGGGGGAAATGAAGTTTCTTATAGGCCGGGAACGCACATGACACTCCAGCTGTCTCAGGCGCGTCCATGGGCTACGGTAACCGTTTACCATCTTGCCACTATCGTAGTATGAAATAAAAACACAATTTCCACTGTAGAAATATGAAGATGAGTTAATTGTGACGTGACATAAGCGTCGTAATGCACGTTGTCGGCGCCCGACTCACAGTCGCGTTTGCTGCCGACACGTAGCGTGTTGTAACGTCTTGCAACGTGTTCTGGTGTGTTGCAGCGCGTTATACCGTGTTGCAGAATGTTGTAGCGTGTTGCCATCTCCTTTCAATTCTCATGATCGCAGCCGGCACGTGTAATCACCGGCCACCGTTACCTACGAATACACAGGGTGGTAACCTCTAAAGAAGGCCACTCCACATTTAATCAAGAAAACAGGTTAACACAATCAGGAAAACACAAATAGGTTTTTATGGAAGCTAATCAAGCAGGATTCTTAATTGTAAGCGGCGTATATTTAAATAATTAGAATTTAATAAGTAAGCGTATTAAAAATTCTGTGTTAAAAAACTACCACATGCTTGTTAGCAACCATAGTATTATAAAAATAACTCAATCACCGACCATCAATACGTGATTAACGTCACAATTTTTACAACAAAACGTAATAACATAAATTTCCGTCATTTAATATAGCAAAGCAACAAGACCAACACTTAGTGGCTCCGCCACCCTGCTTAACCCATGTTTGGTCCTTCGAGCTGGATCATTTGTATTAATAACACGTGATGTGTGTACAACAGAACGGTGTGTTCCTGGCGCCGGTGATGTCAGTGCCGTTCCTGCTGTTCAGCGGGTTCTTCGTGTCGTTCAACGCCATCCCGCGCTACCTCCGCTGGATCACCTACCTCTCGTATATCCGCTACGGGTTCGAGGGCACAGCACTCGCCACGTACTCCTTCGACAGAGCCAAGCTGCAGTGCCACCAGGTGGGCCCCCACACACACAGACAAACACACACTCGCCTCTCCGACCTACTCCACCAAATGAAGCCTACTAGGATATCTTTATTAATGTAGGTCAGTTATAAACTCTTATGATATGTCAAATCTACCGTCTGTTCGGAGTGCTTTCGAACTGACAAAAAACTCAGCTCTTATTCGTTTGAAATGAGCTTGTAAACGATTACAAAAATAATAATAATATCCCTGAACAATTAACACAACGCCATCTAGCCCCAAGGTGAGCAGAGCTTGTGAAATAGGTACTAGATAAGTGATATTCTTTTTGTAAATACATGCATAATATACAAAGAAAACACCCAGAACATATACAGATTAATTTTTAAATTAAATAACCACTGAAACTCATTGTTTGTATTGTGTTTGGTGCAGGTATACTGTCACTTCAAGAACCCGACGACGACCCTGGAGGAGCTGGACATGCTGGAGGCGGACTTCGCGCTGGACATCGCCGCGCTGTGCCTCATCTTCGTGGTGCTGCGTATATCGGCCTTCCTGTTCCTGCGCTGGAAGCTCAAGTCCACCAGATAGACGCCACACCGGCCGCTCTATTTATATTCATAATGTATCATATAAGACTAAAAACAAAGACAGGTTCTATGTTTTAAGGTTCACGGTAGCGACTGTTTCACACCAAACATATACACTAGCACGACACGCCGGTGTGGGAGGGTCGCGGCCGTGGCGGTAGTTAAATGTCACGTATATTCGCAGTCATTGTGATAGTCGACGCTAATTCGAATAAATAGGATTTACTGCGTCCTTGAATTATAAAATCGCGGCGAGTTGCGGGACGTTGTAATTGAAAACATGACAATTGTAATGAAACTGTAGTCGCTCACTGAAGTGTCGCGATTTACAAGCGACGCCTGTAGATATGTTGTAGTCACAAACTTGTGGACGGACTCCTGACATTGTGTATTGTATGTACATAGCCGTGATCATCGTCGCAGTTAATTCATCATCATCACCCATTCGGAGGTCACACTCGTAATCGTAACAGTGTGGCATCGCTCCGGTTATAATGTTAACCATTCCTGATTACAAACTGTATATGTGATAACTATGTGATATGGTACATTTGCAACGAATTAATTTTCATTAGTGACGGACGATATATTCTGTATTAAGTAATGAAGACGACAGATTTATAAATTATACAATTAAACGAGTGGCCTTACTTTACAATAGAACGTTAACACTGTCTCATATCACTGTATATTGTTAATTTATGTAAAAAAAGAACTGAAACTGGCCAAAATGTCGAACAATGTTATATTGCTAAAAGATCTGATGTATTTATTTAGCGATGGTGCCGCTAGTGGAGTGTTTGGTCACGTGTCTTGCCTCACGGGCTTGCCTTATGTAACGCCACACGCCTCGGACGGCGCGGACGGCCACCGCCGCCGTCCCTGTCATTTGAATTAGACTAATCAGGGATCATGGTAATTTCTATTTGTACTTAGTTATTTTTATTTGTTAGATGAATTTATATGGTCCAATATTGTGGTTAGATGTTAATATATATAGATTTTATGATGTTTTGTAATATTTCATTTTGTAATAAACAGTTTATAAAATTCATATTTGTTTTTTTTTTATTTTGCCGTAAAAAAAGCAATTCATTCCGTCATCGAAACTTTCTAAATAATAATAGTAAATTTATTTTTATATTATATGAAATACAATATACTTATTTCCATTTTGTATTAAAAATCTTTTTTGTTAAAGCACTTTATATTAAAAGTGCTTTTGGACCTTTTTTATATTGGCAAAATTCTTTTTGAATTTTGTTAAAACTTGTGATAATTGAGGATCATGTAACTCTGTAAGATCTATCGCGTGATGGAAACCACAAGTCTCGGAAATAAATTTTTATGATGTCCATGATTCATGTTTTTATAGGCAATATTTATCATTTTCCATCAAAGGAAAGAGACAAGATAGAGGCTATTGCGAGAAATATCGTAAAAATTCTCTGTTAATTAAACAAACGAAACCTTTGAATTATTGATTTACATCTTTATATTTAAAAATACGTGTCTGTGACGTTTGTCCGCGATGAAGAAATAGATAGAAATAATCTTTATTCAAATAAACTTAATGAATCGATTTTTTTAATAGTCAAATTTGATTGGCACATTATGGAATGCAGATGAGTTGATCCAAATGAAGATACCACAAGAAGAATGAGCAAGAAACTTGTGTGCTGCTCTTTTAAATAAAGTATATAAGATATCTTTATTAATATATAGTCCCAGCAATAATATAAAAAAAATTTAGTTAACATTGAAGAAAAATAGATGGCCGATTCTCAGACCTACTCAACGCGCACAAAATTTCGAGAATCTGCTAGTAGTATAGAAAACTGTGACACGAGAATCTTATATATATTAACATTTTTTAATAAACTTGTTAACACATTCATAGTACCGGTTCACTTACGGCAAATGAGGAAAAAATTTGCGACTAAAAATTGAATTTGAGGTATTCAATCTTTAGTCGCAATATTATTGCAAATTATTTTTATATATAAAGAAACTGTCAGCCAAAGCAACGCGTGGCCGATGGTATTAAATAAAAAGTCAAATAAATTCCATTGTTTATTCTGAACCAGCGGTTATAAGTAATTTTGAAATTATTTGGATTGTTTATTTTTATATATTTATATTACAACTAATAATTATAACAAACACTGGAACATATATCACTAACACAATATGTTTTTAACTTTACTTTGATGCGAATTGAATTTAACATTTCATCTAACTTTGGATACATCACACTTATATACTAGCGATACATGTAATATCACATATGATATATATATGTATATAAAGCTCACGCGATTCTCATTATAGTTACAATTGATCATGTTAAGTAGGTACACCTAATTATCTATACACAGGTACAGTTGACAAAAATTTAAACAAACGCTGCAACTTTTGAATGGTCAATTTAATGTACCCGTATTATGGCTACTCGTTGGCCTATCAGATAAGCTATGAGACTGCTCTACTAATGTCCACAAAAAAAAACTTCATATTACACAATAGTATTTTTACAATTATCACATTTTTGTGTATTTACAAAAATTCAAATGATGCTAATAATTACATAGTATAAAACAAAGTCGCTGTCTGTCCGTACCTATGTATGCTTAAATCTTTAAAATTACGCAACGGATTATGAAGCGGTTTTTTAATAGATAGAGTGATTCAAGAGGAAGGTTTATATATATAATACATATATACCCGTGCGAAGCCGGGGCGAGTAACTAGTAATGAATAATTAATTTCAATCTTAAGTTGTGGTTACATAGATAAGTTGTACATATCAGTGAAAATACATTCAAACATACAGGCATAATAGAAGAGAATAAATAATTTATTGAAATAAACTTACATTGAAGCACTTTTGAATAATACACTTGTATTAGTATAGATTTGTTCTGTATTTTCATTTGAGCCCTATGATCTTACTTTATATGCCTTACAGACTAACGTACGTATAAAATAACAATAATTATTATTGTTGTGCTTTTAACAGACTAACGTCGATACATGATTGTATAAAATTTAAATAACAATAATTACAATTGTTAGGAATCAATCCGTGCCTATATTTTTTACCTACTGTAAAACATAAACACATTAAAATACAACTTGTATTATGACAGTGTTAGTAATATAATTATTACAGCGTTGCTTATGTTATTTTTGTCAACTGTATTTTATATACTTATGATATATATTTGCTCTTTATTCTACGTAAGTAGGTACCTTAGTATGCAGCGAACAGGCTACGGCTCTGTCTCTAAATATGTATTCCCTGTACACGGAGTAGGGAGGTCGGGACGAGACGCGGACAGAATTTAACTCAGAATTATATTAAAACTAAATTATGTGAACTCCAACAGAAATTAATTGAAAAATACTTGTTTGTATTTATATTACATGTCACATCCGGACCTCGCTATAAGTAACCTACCATAATTAAATTAAAAATAAAAAAATACTTTTAAATTCTTGGACAACGATAAAATTAGTATTTTTGGTAAATACATTATATAATTAAAACTAATGCTATAAATATGTTATGCTCCCTTATCACTAGTTGAGATCAGCGACACTTGCATCATGTGCGTACTTAAGTACGTGATTAATCACTTACGAGTAAATATTTACATAAAGTGTTTATTCTACAGTTTGTTCACAGTTGCATATTACTGCTACAATGTGATTGATGGCAAGAATGTATGCAACAAAAGTTTAAAATGTTATATAAATTGTTAATTTTGTTATTACTAGAATTCTTTATACAGATCTTTGTTAAATAAGAAACACTGGAAGCCTTATAATATACAATTTAAAATAAAAAACTAGTCTTATATTAAACTTATAAATTATACATTGGAATGTGTACAATTAAATTTAATAAATTAACAAGTGCCTTCGTACGTTCGTTAATTGTAAATAAAGTCATCTAATGTTTGTGGTCATTATCATAATAAATAATATTTAAACAATTAATAATTATATTAAAATAGACAAAACAATATTAATATGTGGAGCCCACACATATATATACATATACACACAAAGCGTATTAAATTTGTTATCTCTTAGGATTATAATTTTTGTCATAAGTTTTATATACTTATTATACAATATTCCTGAACCCTTTCCACTCCAAGCCTTTTTTTCTTTTTATTCCACCACCACGCTAAAATTGCGTTTTTTAACTTTTAGGGGATTTTTCGTATTAGAACAGTGCAAACGGTGACAGTTGTAGAAATCAGCGCTGATGTCACGTTTCGTAGTAAGTGTGAGATGGCTCCATCAAAAATTTTGGTAAATAATCCTACGTTTTTTAAAATTGTCCGCAATAAGAGTCTAGTGGCACTCGACAGTGGAGCTGGTGGAACAAAATCAATGTCGAGTGACACTCGACATTGGAGTGGAAAGGGTTTATATAAACAGATATTTTAGACATTCATCTGCATCATACGATGGATAGATAGAAAGATACTGTTATTGAATAAGACGCCATATCACTTCTGACTGAAATCTCACTGGTTTTCAATCTTAGCAAGAACCACACACAAAGATATCAGATTACAGTGTTTTTTTAATATCTATATACGTTATTTATACCTGTATGAGTACTTACATCTTGTGTACTTACATTATAGATACAAATTGTATTGTTACTTAACTGCGAAATTGCAGCGTTTGGTATATAGTAGGGGTGGCCAACAGGTTGATCGCGATCGACCGGTCCATCGCGACTGTTAGTCCAGTAGATCGTGGCAAGGTTAAAAATATAAATGCGTAGACCAGACTAAAAAACGTTGGCAATTTCCAACTACAAACCTGATTATGCTAAACCAGTGGAAGATGCTCAGACGCAACTCACACTAATATAAACGAAAATAAGTACTAGTTACTAAGAAAAATTTCACATTGATGTTTTCTCTCTTCATAAAATAAAAAAATACTACGTGATTGTATACTGAACTATGCTGTTTTATTAAGTGAAACATTTCAATAAGTATGTAATTAGTAGGTCGGATATGGTTTCAATAGTAAACAGGAGATCTTGAGTCTAATCAAGTGGGATGGCCACCCCTGGTATATAGGTACAAATTATAATACTAGAAGCACCCGAAGCGAACTGTGCTAACTAAACTAAAATTATATATAATATAGGTACTGGCTGTACACATTTATTATAGAATTTTAATATATCATATCATAAATTACGCATCTACTTTTGTAGCGCAAGTGATATAGCGTCATTTTCGTAGACACTGATAAGTCTACCAAAAATGTAGCGAGCCCTGTTTTCTGTCGTCCTAATTTTTTTTATATAATATGCACTACATTTACTATAAAATACTGTCTTAGCACAAATGTCAAACTTTTTTCTCTATATATTTTTTTCATAGTGCGTATATTAATATGACGTGGAGTGGCCTACAGCAGCCGCACGAGCAGCATCCCGAGGGCGGCCCCGGCCGTGAGCCCCACACTCAGCATGGTGGCGATCACAGAGGACGCCTTCTCCCGCTCGTGCGCCTCCACCTCCCTGTTAACCAGAACACACACGAACCCCTCACTCACACTCGCCTATTCATCCTGAGCCACATCATCGACGCAGTAATGAGAGGCGAATTCTCTAAAACGGACAGTGTCCAGCGGTAGGACCAACATGCTGAACTTTGTAAATAATATGAGAAATTTGTATTTTATAAAGTCACTTTAAAATAACTGGTCTACTTTATAATAGACAGTCTACTTGTCAGCGAGTGGCAATGTATACAACTGCACGCTGTGTTCGAGATATGCCGAAACTAAGATTCGAATAAGTAATAAAAGGTATATGTATAATTGTATATATATAATATAAAATTAAAATTTCACCTCATATATTTTTGTTACTGTTGTTGTTGACTGAATAAAAAGTACGCATGGCGTTCTTCATTGATAAATTGCAAACTGAATTAGTGAAATGTTATATAAAATATTAAAATGTTGACGCTGCATATAATGTACGATGCTAGCTCGTATAATATGTACCGGGCGCGAAAGAGGACATCACTGGAGATACAACATGATTACTATTTATTTGACATATTTCACCTTTAAAACCAGACTATATGTATGATCAGTGGCCATACTATTACTACTGTGATATCACCTTCTCTGCGCTATTACTGACGTCCTCGGTGGTCTAGTGGTTTAGCACACTGCCTTACTTCCGATGGTCGTGGGTTCGATTTTCTCGCACGGCACAAACATTTGGATTCATGAGTAATAATAATAATAAACTATTACATTTTTGTTAAATAATCATCATACAGAGAATTTACTAGTCGTATCTATATTAGGCTGAGCCTTTATTATAGATAATGTTAACTTCCAGCAACAAAAAAAATAAGGTAAAAATTAAAATGTTGCAACGGCGCGGGTAGTTTGTATCGGGCTGAGTGATTTCTATGTATAATATTTGTATCAGTTATCTAGTACCCATAACACAAGCTTTAGCTAGCTTAATTTGGGTCTAGATGGCGCTGTGTGAATTGTCCTGAGATTATTATTATTATTACTGTTGTTTGTTTCTATAAAAATCTCTATAGATACCAGTACCTTCGGTGTCGAGTTATGAATGTATATATATAAATAGAAATAATCTTTATTTATTCAAATAAACTCAATACAAGCACTTTTGAATAGTCATAATTTTGATTCTACCACTCATTCAGAATGCTGATTCATCACAAGAAGAATGAGCAAGACACTTGTTTGATGCTCTTTTGAACAGACTTTATTTTATATATATAATTACAGTATAACAAGTAAGAGACATGTGACAATCAATACAAAAACCGCTACGCACTCATTATTACTGCAATCAGATAATATAAAAAAGCAAATCAATGAGAATCGACAGAACTGGGTAGCATAACATCGAACACATGTCGTCGCGTCGACTAATTAATATAATAATAATTAAGATAGCAATTTAAATTTAATTATAATCGTAACTAGAACTCGGCCTGCAGCGAGGGGTTATCTCTGTTGCAGCTGTTTGTATGACATAACACAAGACTGCATGTAAAACGAGTGCCAACAGTTTTAGGCAGTATGTATTAATTGTAATTAAAGTTATTGTTTTCAAATATAATTCATTAATCTGATTTAATTAAATAATTATTAAACTAACTAATCATTATTGAAATAATCATGATCTTTAGTCATTAATTGATTAAATTCATAGGATTTCTTTGATATCAATTCAAGCTCCGAAACAGAATCCTTGAAAGGAGCTGTTCAATTCTTTCGTGGATTTCAGGATACTTATGTTGTAACATGTCAACGGTAGGTTTATATTTTGACGTCGATTGTGACTGTACTTGTATTATAATTTTACTCGTGTCTACCAATTCGTATTGTATTCTTTAATAATATTTTTGTCCAATAATTTACACTATCATTCAGTCATCAGGTGATTTTTAATTCAAACTTGGGAGGATAGAGTGACCACCAGTATATGCTATTGCAAAAGCAAATAGTCTAATCAGTGTTCGTAACTAGAGGAACTACTCGTTAATCATATTTTTTGATTATGACTTTCAATCGTTGATCAAATAAAGTTTGTCGCGGACTGACCTGGTGGAGTTGATCATGATGATATTGGTGAGGTATCCGTTGGAGAAGGCGAACACGATCATGATGATGATGTACTGCCAGTCCCAGGGGAACAGCACGGGCAGGTGTCGGCGCGGCTGCGCGTTGCACACCATCAACATCGCCACGCCCGCCACCCTCGCCACGCTCGCCACGGCTGACACCCACGCCCGAGACGGCTGCTCCACCACAACAATACATCACTTTACAAACAACTTAGCTACAGTTGATTCAACTCCAACACTTCTGTAACACTACTGCTGTTGTATGGCGCACGAGTTGAGTATTGAGACACCCAGCGGGAAAATAAATGAAAGATCAGATTGAATCCATACTCCAATTATCACTACACTAGCTGACCCGCGCAAATTCTTCACGCATGCATCAGACTTACTTAACGTTTATTGTTATATTTCGGTCAATTTACATAATATCATTTTAAACTACATCCTATGTGTAATTCTAATATACAAGCTATATAACTGTAAGGTTTCATCAAAATTCGTTTAGTAGTTTTTGAGTGACAAGGTAACAAACATCCATCTATCCGTCCATACTCACAAACTTTTGTATTTATAATATTAGTAAGTTTTACTATGACTATTTTTTTTAATAAATACAACAATGGAATGCGATTAAGGAACTTCACATAGTGCTGATGTGGGTGTGCGTTGGTGTACCTTTAGAAGGAAGCCAGCGACCAGGCGGCCGGAGTAGTCGCCGCAGTTGAAGATCAAGTAGTTCACCACCGGCACGAAGAATATGTCTGCGGACATTTCACAATATACACATAACACCACAGCACCTCCATAAGAGCAGATACAGATCACCGATTTAGAATGACATTTCGTTGTATTCATACAAAACCTTTGTGTCTACTAATATAGTTATAAAGTAATAATATAGTTCTAATAACAGACAGACATACATCACCGAATACAATGTAAACGGTCGACAAAATACCAAATTTTTGATAATTTATATTTCTAACAATATCGGTAACGAGAGCAATATTTAAAACGATGATATACGTATGAAATAATGGTGAATGATCAATTCATCACATCATTCAGTACATGCGCCACACGCGTTGACGATGACGTTGGGAATCTATTGGTATTATCATTATCAGATTTACAGATAGCAGATAGATTCATATCTATCCTCATAAGACAAAGACACATGCAGGCTGCTGCCACTGTCATGATTGTCAGGTAGCTTCGGAATAGGTTTCATAACGGGTGTTGCTTTATAAACAATCATGTGTTTAAAAAAAATATTAATCATTACATAGTATAAAACAAAGTCGCTGTCGTTGTCTGTCCCTATGTATGCTTAAATCTTTAAAGCTACGCAACGGATTTTGAAGCGGTTTCTTTCAATAGATAGTGATTCGAGAGGAAGGTTTATATGTATAACACATGTACACGCTACCCACCCCGGGCGAAGCCGGGGTGGGTAGCTAGCTGGCTAGTTAATATATTATACGTATTGTTATCTTCAAAGACAGGAACAGTAAACTTTATAATTTAAAAAGGTATCTAAAGCAATTTAATAATTAAACGTTGTTGTAAGCAGTTACCAGACCTCAGGTGTTTTTACAGACGGTTTTGTTATCAGTTAAATGAATATACATGTCGGTTAAAAATATACTGAGAACAATTGAAGCGATTGTAAGAAATAAAACAACAATATATTACGTGCGGCCGCTTTACGCTAAATGTTAAGTTTACCGAACAGCAACAACTACTGATAAATGATACGGTTTACAGAAAACCATGTGATAGAATTACATTTTTCATCATCGTTGCTTAATTGATCTACTCGTTCAGAAACGTTCATGAAATAGGATAATAACCTTATAATTTATAATAGTATATACTTTTGGATCATTCACACAACGTCATTTAGTCTTTTGCTAAGCAGATTTTGTGTTATGGGTACTATACAAGGGGTATAAATATACACTTTTTTTACAAATATAATACGCATAGACAACAGCCAAACCGAAACAAACAATCGCAGGTATCAATACAAATATCTGTACCGTGCGAGGAATCGAACCCGCAACGACAGGAAGCAATACGGTGTGCGAAACCGCTCGTGTAGTGTATGTGGGGTAATAGGGTAATGTCAGCTCACTGTTCCAGTCTGTGCCGGCGGTGGTGGGGTGGGACTCGACCAGCACGGTGACGGCCGGGTACACCGCCATCGTCACCGCGAACACGCTGAACATGCTGAACGCGTACACCCATATCTTCTTCATCACCGAGGTCAGGGAGGCGTCCCGGTGGCGGTTGCTGACGCCGCTGCTGCCGTGCAGCACGTGGTGCGTGAAGAAGTCCACGCGGTGCAGCGCCAGGTAGGACAGCAGCGAGGTGGCCACCACCACGTCCGCGATGATGAAGTACACCAGCGCGCTGTGCAGCGGCGAGACCTTGAAGGCGAGCGACACGATCTGCGCCACCGCCGCCATGATGCCGCCCAGCGACTGCCCGCTCACCACCGCGCCCATGTACTCCTTAGAGAACTTGCTCGCCACGCCGATCAGACCGCCGATGAACACCGCGCTCGCCGCTGACGACACAAACACAAACACAGCCTCCTCAATATCTAGTCTATTGCTGATCATTTGTCTATTAGCAAATAACAAGAACGTAATTGTTAATAATGTGGACTGATAATCTTATTGCTAGTAATGCACCATGTTAGGTTAATCTGCACGCGTTTCCTCTGGAAACCATCGTGATAAATTCTTGGTGAATTTGTCACGATGGGCTAACTGACCTGACCTCATGCTCATCTTATCATCCTCCACTGGTGCCCCGCCAGCGTAAACCGTTAGCGCAGGGGAGCGTACGGGAGCATTGCATCAACCCTTGAAAAAAAAATATCACAAAATATAATTGTGATTCCTGCGACACAAGCCTTGAGCCTAGTGCAGGGATTGCTGTTAAATATTTTGATGTACAATCATTGATGTACAAATAAATAAATGAATAAACATAAATAAATGTATAAACATTGTATACCTATAGAATGTTTATTCACGTAGGTATAGTAGCGTGTGTTACTTCACTATACTCGTATGTATCCTGTATCTATTACATTAGGTATATTAGTTGGTATCGCGTTACTTCACAATGAATAATTAAATGATCTTTGTCCCCGAGCCTTTTAAATTATATTACAAAACACTGACTAATAAGTTCAACTAACTCACGCATTTATGGAACGAGCAGCCGATACATGCTCTCAAATGTCTGTGCAGATGTTACACACACGTGACTCAATTATATGTTATGGATAATAAATAACATATAACTGCATGACTATGTTTTTTATGGATGATAATGAAATGGTGCACCCGCCTGCGCTAACGGTTTACACTGGCGGGGCACCAGTGGAGGATGATAAGATGAGCATGAGGTCAGATCAGCTAGTCCACCGTGAGAAATTCACCAAGAATTTATCATGGGTTTGAAGGGAAACCTTGTGGAGGTACAATGATAGCAATAAGGTCATCAGTTCACATTACTAAGAATTCCACTTCCTTCTGACTATATTGTAGAACCACTGCTCTACCAAGTTTTAAATGGCTGTATTTAGAAATACATACTATTTTTAAATCAATTGTAGTAGCATAAGTTTAACATACATAAATAATATTATAAGTTTCTGCAATACTCATTAAGTTGATTGTAATTATTGTGTAGGTACACTCATGTCTAGTCCATTCCAATTGTGTTCATCTAGACGGCTGCAATTATAGGTATACCTACTAAATATTGGAGATTATGATAACACCATGCGATAACATATACTTTGTTATATATTTGTAATAATATCAAAGTAATGTTTGTTTTAATCAACCAAGTTTGCATATAAGTACCTATATTAGGGTGTCAAGCCAAAATTTAAAAAACCAGGACTAACCAGTTTAAAAACAGAACGCACTAATAGTGTTGCAGTAGTTATATTAATATATAGTAACATTCAAGTAATTAATATAATCAGCTTTTTAATAAAAATAATAAAAGTATTTGATAAAATATATGTATGTATTTACAAAAAGACTTAGTATTTATATCAGACGTTTGTATATAGTATAACACAGGGCCCTCTGCTTACCATGGGGCTAGATGGCGTGTAAAATTATACTGTTGACAATCAGTAATTAAGAGGCGTGCGTATTTTAAAAACCCAGGACGCTGACTAATAACTATTCAGGACTTCGCAGGACACTTCAAAAACTAAAACGTGTCCTGGGAAAACAGGACGGTGGGCTACTCTAGCCTACATATAATACATATGTTACGGAAAATGTTTCCCAACTCTGAATCGGTTTAAACGATATGATGACTATCATGCTAAGTTAGTTAGTAACAGAAATTGTTTTTTCGTAATTAAATATATTCTAGAAACTTTATTGAGTCTCGGTTCACGGAACAGTCTGGTTCGATTCCTCGCACGTTGAAAACATTTGTATTCATGAGTATGATTGTTGTATCGTTGTAAACATGTTGTTTCTATATATGATTGTTGTATCGGTCTGGGTGTTTTCTATATATATGTATGTATTTACAAAAAAGACTTAGTATTTATATCAGTTGTCTAGTACCCATAACACAGTTCTGCTTACCATGGGGCTAGATGGCGTTGTGTTAATTGTCAATTTATTTATTCATAATGTAATGGAGTGATTATGCACTATTACAATATATACAATAAGATACCCATTACACTACATCAGGGTTGCCAACCTTAAGATAATTTTTTTAACATTTTAGACATTTTTTATATTCTAAATATCATTTCAGTGGGGACTGGGGGCCCTCTGTATCCTCGGGGCCCTGGGCTGCAGCCCAAAATGCCCTTAGGTAGATCCGCTCCTGATAATATTATCCTATAATAGTCTTTTACCTATTAGATGCCCTGGAGACAATATTGGCCGCTATGACCATAGTAATGAAGCATTATTGTGTTAGAATAGGTAAAGTCATTTTTGAACATGACTCTTTAGATGTATATAGGGATGCCCTACCTTCAAAATAAACCGGGCAAAAATAATTTTAAAAATTCGTTATGTGATGAGAGGTTTAAGTTCTTGCTAGACATTTATAAAAAAATTAACAAAAACGAATAAATTGACCATAGTCGGTAAGCATTTGTTAAGACTGATTTTCAGGCGAGAGTAGAGTAGCTATCAGTTATCGTTTGGTAATGGAGCAGGGACAAAACAAGACTAGGGGCCCCAATTCATAGCGGGGCCCTGGGCACGTGCCCAGTGTGCCCAGTGGGGAAGAGGGGCCTGCCTATTATAATCTACAGCGCAATAGGGACGAAATTCTACACGGGCTAGTAAGTAAGTACTACTAATTAGGCCCACTGGCTGTGTTATCATAATTGATGTTTTGATAAATGACTACATTGTCCATATCACACGAAACGCAAGTAATGATAGATAACAGACACATCCTCTATCTGGTCTATGATAATGGCGCTGTTTAAAAGTTGGCACCCGCAGTAGATACGAAAATGTGAAAGTAATAACAAAATATATATATCATTACGTATAAAACAAAGTCGCGGCCGCTGTCTGCCCGTCCCTATGTATGCTTAAATATTTAAAACTACGCAATAGATTTTGAAACGGTTTTTTTAAATAGATAGAGTGATTCTAGAGGAAGGTTTATTTGTATAATACAATTGTACACCCGTGTAAAGCCGGGGCAAGTAGCTAGTAATAAATAAGAATAAGTAACAAGTACTATTTCTTCCAACTTGCTTTTATTCTTACTTTAAAAAAAATATATATTGTAGAGATGGATAATTTCTGGTGAATTTATATTTTTCAGGACAATTAACACAGCGCCATCTCGTTCTAAGTTAACTAAAGCTTGTGTTATGAGTACTAGATAATTGATACAAATACGTAGACATATATTTTTTTATACAAATGAATCCAAGTGTTTGTGTCGTACGAGGAATCGAACCCGCGACCCGCGATCAAGTGCACTGCTTCACTTGCTTCTATTAATAAACTATATATAAATGTAATAAGTTACATGCTAGGGGTAATAATTATGTTACTATAAACGATTCCTGATTCCTGCAACAAATGACTTACCAGTCATTATCACAACAGTCACAATGGTAACAATGAAGAATCCATTCTGCCAGTCGTCTGTGTCCACCTGCACCAGGGCCGTGGTCACCAGGAACGATAACATGATCACTATGAGTGACCCTTGTAGTCTACTCTTTATTGATACTCTGCAAACAAATTTATTGTTAGAAAAAGTAAGTCTGTCTAAAGATAACAGTGTGGTCACATCTAGTGAGTGTGGTGCAACTGTTCAGTTTTGATAAAAAGCATTATTGATGCTTATAATTTTGTTATTGCCAAACATGTTCAATGTTTGCCAATAAACTTATTATACTAAAATAAACATAAAATTATAAACATGTTAAAGCTATGTCCTATTGATACACAATGAGCAGTTTGTATTCATAGAAAATATTAAAAATGTATTGCTGAACAACGACTTATTAAAAAAGCAACACACTAGTTTCTATCTAGTTAGTTTCTGATAAGTTTGCATTCTGAACAAGTAGTAGAATTATATATGGATGTTTGTTACTTTTTCACATAAAACTTCTGAAGGGATTTTAATGAAACTTCACAGTAATATAGCTGTTACATCATAATAACATAGGCTATAAATTGCATGCGGGTGAAACCATATTACAGCTAGTAAAAAATATATTACTGTTCAATTGCTTATCTTAAGTTTATATAAACGAGAATTATTTCTATGTCTATATCTATAATAACCATGTCTAAAGTCTAGAATCTATGGATGAATCACTATGGATTTTCAATTATAAGTTGCAGGAAGAAAATCCATAGTGCCATAATTAATTTTATATTGTATGATGTGTAAACAAATGTATCAATCATATATGCTTACAAATGTCCATAGAGTGAATTTAATACTAGGAAGATCAAGTTGGGAATGGCTGTGGCCACATTGAGGTATGATGTGAACTCCGCTTGGAACTGTGTCTTCCTCACTAGCATTGTAAGGTTGCTCGGATTCACATCTCGAAATTTATACATCCAGTACTGAAACAATATTATATGATATTACAAAAGTAAGCATTAAATATCTTTTTATATAATATAAGACAATTAAACATACAGGGGACTATAGATAAATATTGATGTTGATATTTTTGTACATTGAGACATTGTATGAACTTTATGGCTCATAAATTTAAATTCAAAAATCATTTATTCATGTAGGATATTTTAGCAACTTATGAAAATCAAATTTTTATATTATTATTTTTCCCTACCATCCAATTCAGTATATAGATCCAATTAAGAATAATTGGCAAGAAACTGAATTAAATTACTTTTTAAAAGCCAGTTATTTACAATGTATATTTATATAGGTGTCCAAGTGCAGTCAAAACCATTAAGAAACTTAAATGGAAGTGGACAGGACGTGCAATAAGAAGTAAGAAAGAGAAATGGACTAAGGTTGTTATAGATTGGTATCCAAGAGAACAAAAAAGAAAAAGATGACAGAAAAAGAGCTGGGAGGATGATATAAGGGCAGTGGCTGGACCAACATGGAGAAGGCATTGGACAGAGGATCCTGGAGTCTTTTGGAGGAGGCCTATGTCTTGGGACAAGCTGATGATTGTCAGCACAAGGGCTATAAATAAATAAAAATAAATAATAGGTGTCCATGTCTAACATTCAATGAAAATCCTATGCATGAACAACTATGGCAATAGTTGGCACACTCATCATTCAAGTAATTGTTTAGTGAGTAATAAATAGGCTTTGCTCAGTAATTATGATTTAACAGTTGTTCTTAAAAAATTAAGTAAAAAAAGTTGAATGAAACAAAAATCTTCAAGAATCATTTTATATTAATAATTATTTGTTATATGACTGACTGAATGAGATGAAGACACCCAATATGACTGTCTACAAGATACTCAGTATTCATTTCTATTCAAATATATGACAAATTATGTTAATTTATTAATGTATTAATTCTATGCTATAAATATATCACTGCGTTGAATTTAAGAATTGTTGACGTCCATAAAAATTTTTACTCAATAATAAATAATATCCAACCTAAATAATAGCACAAATAAATATTAAACTTAAAAATGTAAAGTAAGAATGAAATAATTTAAACAAGCAACACTCAAAGTTCTTGCTCTCTCTGTTCTTCTTATGATGGTCTCATCATAAGAAGAAAGAGCAATGAGCACAAGCTTTCCAAATGAGTGGTAGATTAAAAAAATGTGATGATTATTCAAAAGTGCTTCAATGTAAGTTTATTTGAATAAATAATTTTCTATTCTTTTCTATTATCTAAATATTATATATTTAGATATCTTAATTTAGTATTTAATATTATCATATTTATTACTTGGTCATTATTACATTCTCATTTATTCAAAAACTTATCTCTGTAGATGAATATTTGTGAATAAATTATTTAGTACATAAATTCTAAGTTTGTTTTTCTAATTTACTTTATTTTATAATAAAGTGGACATTTTATTAGTATATTATGAAAGAGTTTTTCTGACTGATAATATTCATTGTGTGTATCGATTATTAGTGTAGCACATAACTTACATCGTTAGCAGTTATTAAAAAGTTCCAAGGTACGAGAGAAGAGACACCAAATAAATAGAATAGAATGTACACGATCCAATATCGGTCGCGGGGCTGCTCCCGGCAGTCCAGCACCTTCGTACTACACGAGTCGGTCACTAGCTCTCTTTCCTCGGAGTCATCCAAGATTTCTTCTTCATTTTCTATTGTTTCAATAGCGTCGTTGTTCAGGGAACCAGTTGGATCCATCGTTACAACTTCCAGCAGTGAGAGGCCTTGTATTTATACACTAGTAATATCTTGTTGAACACACTCTACGTTGGCTATATTACTATCACAACTAAACTGTGTAGTTTATCATAATGAAATTGAACAACTGTTTTTGTTTTCTTTTTTATTAAATTCGTAATTATTTGTAAACTTTCAGTTTTTGTCTTGGTAATTATCTTGTCTTGTCAGAAGTATGTCAGTGTCAACTGTCAGTGTGACACTAGCGTAGTGATTACTTGCTCAATGAGTGATTCACATAATATCCTTGAGAAATCCACAACTAATAAAAGATAGATAGATAGATAAATATATCGTTTAAAATGGATCGGCCTATTTATTCATTTATATACCTATATTTTTTCTATTTCGCCTACTCTAACTTATACACTGACAATATGATACATTTAAAATTTATGATATAAAAGCGTGAAGTTGTTCAAGTAGACCATCGTGATGAATTAACCACGATGTTTTAAAAGAAGAACAGCGCGTAGGTTGATTTAAAAACACCACATTGTTAGTAAAGGGGAGGTTAATAAATATAGACTAATAATAAATATATAGACTATAAATACAGATAACATTATTACATACTATAATTAACAACCCCTTCAGCACATTAACATATCTATGTGGTTTATGGGACTGCGTTTTACTGCAACATATCCATAGAGACATCATAGGCACAGTACCTCGACATAATAGGGGGAAAGGAATTGTTAGTAATGTGGACTCATGACCCCATTACTAGCAATGTACCATGTCAGGTTGACCTCCACGCGGTCCCCCCTGGAAACCATTGTAATAAATTCCCGGAGAATTTATCACGATGGGCAAACTGACCTGACTTTATGTTCATCTTATCATCCTCCCCCGGTGCCCCGCCAGCGTAAACCGTTAACGTAGGCGGGTGCATCATTCCATTATCATACACATAAAAAAAAACCTCGACATAATTATAAACAGACTCATAATTCACACTATATAGATTTGGTTTGATAGTCATAGTTCCCTCCGAAAGATGTTCCATGTCAATGTTGTATCCGTAAGGCAGGAGTTGGCTTTCAGCCGCTCCATACATACCTCCGGAGGAGAGTGCTCCCTGCACTTGCACACATTCCGTCTTTAAGGGTACACCAAAACCAACCATAAACAATAAAACACATGTATGTATAAAATAAATTTCTCGTTTTTTTATATGTTCTGATATTAAAAAGAAAAGAAGTTATTACATGTTAGGAGTAAGTATAAAGAAATAAATTTATTATTTTCATAACTTATACAAATAAAGCTAAGTATAATAAAAGATATAAAATACATTAAGTGATGTAAAATAGTCTACTTAAAAGAAAATAATAAAAAATAATAAATGTTTAGAAATGTGTCCAAAAGTAAAATATTTGGACGTAGAGGGCAGCAACAGCTACGTATTTGTATATGATTATACGTATATATTCATTCACAGAACAAATATTTCATATTTAATTAAATTATTCTCTACTTATTGTATAATAGGGACGGACAACATAACTTAAAATTAAATTATTGCAACAAGAATCATTGCACAAATAGTCATCGTATTGATTCGTCAAGTTCGAAGTATCCCGCCCGCCATCCGTGTACAGTTCTACATGTACAGTATGTATGTAACAGAAGGCCACTGCAGTCAGGCTTTTCACAGCTCTGTTATTAACAATAAGTCTTCAGCATATACAATTTATTTCAAATACTGAGATCGTACGTTCTGTCTTTACATGTATTTTACAATATATCTAATATATTTTTGTTAAAATATTTTCCTAAATAAAGTATATGTATACGTAAGTACACATGGAAACGTAATAGAAATAGTAACAGGGTAACAGTACAGTCACGACAATAGAAGGCACTCTCTGGATATGTATACGAAGAGAAAGGAAACAATTCTCAAATAAGACACCCACATTCGCATTCAGTCTTTTCATTGCTTTACTAATAACAGTTTTTTAATACCGGTCGTCGACATTGTCAGCAGCAATGACCGATCTCATCAATATCACGGGTCTATTTGTGTATGTATATGTGTGTGTGTGTGTGTGTGACACCACTACATACACTACTTCCCATAACTACATTCCATATATGTATGGACATACACTATACTCGTATATACACCGTAAATTCTAATTCAGTCAATAATTAGTCGGTCTATTACATTCTCTCTGTACATCTACCTATTTAATATTAAACTCATAATGTGAGGTGATCATAATTCACATAGCAGTCTCTAGAGGTTGGCTGTAGGAGCGGCTGGCCTCGGTGAGGGGTAGCGGGCTCGAGTCCGAGTCGTCCAACTCGAAGTTGGTCTCGAGCAGAGCCTCCGAGCGAGCGCGGTGCTGCAGGTCCAGGGGCGGAGACTCCAGCTCCCGGCCGTAGTCCGGGGGGCTGCGGTCGTAAGCGCCCCTGTAAGGGCGCGGGGGCTCCGGAGACTCGTCCTCGTAGTACTGTTGTTGCTCTACACACACACACAACATGCTATTAATGTTTATTACAAAACACACACTACTACTTGACTGGCTCGTTTAATGTATTGCAATTCACATATTACTGGGTCTTCAATACTATGTACTTATATATCTACTAGTGGACACCGCAAACGTTGATTTGGCATATAAATTAAAATCGCTATTAAGACATAGGGGTTTGACAGTAGGGTGAAAATTTAGGATTGTATATATTTTTTAATGCCTATTATAATTTTGTTTAAATATTATCCAACGAAATAAAAATAAAATGGTAAGGGTCGACAGCTCTTATCACTTAGGGGTTTGAAAAATAGATATATTCTCAGACCTACTGAAATGCATATTAAATTTCATAAAAATCAATCAAGCTATTTCGGAGTATGGTAACATTGTGATACGAGAACTCATATATATCAATTTTTTACTGTTTCCACTTAAATACATACGACAATCACAACAGCATTTGGGACAAATATTTTGGTGCGTACGGAAACACCACTAGCTGTAATAATTAGGAATTGACTATTCCATTCATGGATAAAACTCATCGAAACGTAAGGCGAGTTAAATGCAAATGAAGTGAAACTGACTGGGTGCGAGGCTCCTCTGGCCGAAGGTGGTGGCGGGCGCGGGCGGAGGCTGGTCGGGCATCTTGGACCGCAGCTCCATGAGGAACGACAGCTTCGGCTGAGAACCCTGGGTGGGCGTCCCGTAGGGCCCGAATATCTTGCCCTCCTTCTCCAGCTCCCTCTTCAAGTCTAGCGTGTCGTTGGATCGTCCTCTGAGAGGTAACGTGTCCGACGTGAAGTAGTGGTCGGCGGCGGGAGCCAGCCCGTCGTGGTCGTAGGGCCGGGCCGAGCCGAAGCCCGAGTGCAGTATGGGGATCTCCTCGGTGGCCACCGTGGTGACCGAGGGCGCTTCGCTGGCGGACTCGGAGGCGTCCTTGTAGCCCCGGTTCCTGTAGGCGAGGTCGAAGGGCCCGTTGTTGTTCTGCGGCACGGAGTACTCCGGGGAGGCGGGCTTCTTCATGAACGTGCTCTGCTTCAGCGGTATCACGTTGGGGTTGGGGTTGTGCGCCTCGTATATGTCGAAGCTCTGGTTGTCCTCCATCGACGAGTTGAATTGACTCTTCTCCATGGATTCCATCGACGTGGTGGAGGTCAGCATCTTGCGATAGTCGGAGCCTTTGGTCAGTGTTTCAGTGGAGCGGGTGCTCTGGAAAATTATTAAATCAAAAGTTATATACAGACCATATACAAATGTCACAGACATGCAAATCTATAACAGAATATTTTACTGCGAGTCAATTGTACGACCATGCTTTACACATCTCATATCTTATCTCTCATCGTATTTTACATGATAATGTGAATTCTGGAAACAGTGAAATAAATCTATACTTGCTGCAGGTTTAGATGTTTGTATATGTCATAAAAAAATCAACACTCGTCAGCTACATACCGTCGATTTTGAAAGGGGTTGGGAATAGTTAGTACTCAACAACGATAAATTTATAGCCAGTCACAAGACATATATATAAGATAAAAGTAGTACATAAGAATGTACCATTTGCGCCAGCTTCCGCCTGTAGGCGGAGTCTGCGAATCCTCCGTTGATGCTGCCGATGGAACGCACCGAGTGCAGCGACTGACGGATGGAGTTGCGCCGCTCCAGTCTCTGCAGGTGTCTGAGAATAGAACAGAAAATAGAAAATCTTTTATTCAAAATAAACTGAAGCACTTTTGAATAGTCATCACAATTATTTATCTACCGCTCATTCGGAAAGCTGTCTCATCACAAGAAGAACGAAGAAGAAACTTTTATGTTGCTCTTTTTTCAATAATCGTTTTAAGCTTTACATTTTTAGTCGCAACGTGCGAATATAGACTTCCAATTAGCAGTAATTTATTAGAGTCAAATCTTAGGGAACTGTAGCAATGCGGAAATGTTATGAAACGTGTGCGTACTTACCGAAATAAATAGTACTACTGTTGTTAGTCACCACTACGGTGCGGTCTTTCAAGTTGTTATGACTCAGTAATTGGCAATTGTGCTCATCAGACGTGAATACAGGTCGCATTGCATATTATTGGCCGTAGAATTTAATAAAAAGAATTCGTTAGTTTTTTGAGTACGTAATTTTCCACAGGAAGTGTGAAATAGCCAGAGTTAAATTACACGACACAAATGTTAGTGTTGTGATTGTTAGGAATCGCATGTGAGGCCGCACTGCTGGCGTCAGGGGAGGCGTGGGGTAGGGATGTGTGTCACCTGTGCTTGGACTTGGAGTACCAGCAGACGAGCGCGGCGCCGACCAGCAGCAGCGCGGCGGCCAGTACCCCGGCCAGGGCCAGCGTCAGCTCGTCTCCGCGCCACGACAACGGGTCGATGGAGATGCGGGGGTCTGCGGCAGGGGGGCGTCGTAGTCTCGGTTAACGATTACTTTGTTCATTATTCTGGTAAAGTTAGGTTACCAAGAAAAGTTTCTCTATCGGGGGACGAGTTAATCGATAACGGTCAACGGGAGTAGGTAGAACGGTAATATAGATGAATTATATGGAATGGATTAAATCTAAATTGTAGTATTATAAAGTGGAATAGTTCGTTTGATCGTTTGAATGCGTCAATCTTGGGAGCCGCCGGTGTAGTATAATAATGTGGGGCGGCGCGCGGACTCACCGATCTCGCATATGAAGGCGTTCTTCTGGTGGCAGTCGGTGACGTCGACGGAGGAGGCCGCGAACGAGGTGCAGCGCGCGACGTAGTCCACGTGGTCGACCCACACGCGGCCGCCCCCGCCCGCCGCCGCCGCCGCCGCGCGCACGAACTCGTACAGCGCCGCGTACCCGCGCGCGCCCACGTACGGCAGCGACGCGTCGTCCGACCGGCAGAAGTCCCGCGCGCGCGCGTACGGCAGCCGCGCCGCCACGTAGTAGTAGCAGGCGCCGGCGGCGGCGGCCCAGCCGGGCGGACACTTGCCGGCGGCCAGCAGCGAGCGGTTGTCGGCCCTGTAGGGCTCCGCCGCCACGCGCAGCAGCCGCGGGCGGTCGGCCGCGTCCCGCACGCGCGCCGCCACGGCCGCGCTCCAGTTGTAGCTCCAGTAGTTGTGACGCGCGTCCACCACCGCGCGCCACGCCTCCGTCGCGCTGCGGACGCACACGTGTCCAGTGACGTCACCACCCGCCGCACACGTGTCGGTGTCGGTGACGTCACCAGCCGCCGCGTGGCGGGCGGTCGGCGGCGGTCGACGTGGCCGTACGACCACATCGACCGCCGCCGCGCACGCTCCCGAGTACTTCGTGCGTGCGTGTCATTATTACGACATGGCCGACATCCAACATGTACAACGACGACGTGGTTTAAAATTTTTGGTAACTTATAAATAGACTAGTCTCCTCGAAAAATAGAATCGTGGAATAAAAAAAAAAAGGATAACGACATATACCGCGTCCACGATCACGCACAAATGAATGAAAATAAAATATATAGTAATCCCTTACGATGCACGCGCCGACTCACCCGTACTAATTAGCTTACCCTCCCGATCACTCCTGACAGACTGTGCCATATAAAAATAATCCCACTCAATACTACTACTAAATCTACCCAACATTTCTATTCAAATATCATTTTCGCTACTCCAGTACCTATATCATGCAACCCCACAGCACTTATAAACTTAAATTTTATTCAAAATGAGAAACCTAATTAAATTTATATCCAATCGACCGAGTATACCATTCTACTCATACCCTTTATCAATACCCTCCAGACTCACTCCACCCTAAAATACTACCTAATATATAGTCCGACACAGATCAACGATCTTTATTCATATAGGGAACAAGAAATAGAAATAAACACTTATAGTATTATAATAATTAGAGTATTACTTCCATGTCAGTTTGTTATCTCGAAGTTTAATTTACATTTCTTTCCAATTAGTATTAACATATTACCAACAGTAAACCTCATGCGACATTCAGTTGATTAGAATAGAATAGAAAATCATTTATTCAAATAAACTTAATTACTTTTAAATAATCATAGATATTATTATTTTAATCTACCGTTCATTCGGAAAGCTGTCTCATCACAAGAACAAGCAAGACACTTGCGTGTTGCTATTTTAAATAATATTTTTTTAGACCTAAAAGATATCTATTCACCATCCACCATAATCATTGTAACTTTACATTTCCAATTTGAAACGTACGAATAAGAACCAGTAGATTATCGTATCGAGTATATAAATTTAAGTTACGAGTAAGTATGTATGAACCGCAGCGACTGCGGACTCACCTTATGGCAGCGGGGTTATAGTCAATAAAGCTACGCGTCCAGGCCGCCATGCAACACAAACATGCAAATAAACAAATCATTAATATGTAACATGCTACCAACCGTCCAACAATACATCAGTAACATTGTAGAATATCATGAGGTCATAGTTATTTTAAAACTTTCGTGTTTAATATACATTATTTATATTATTAACCGGGTCTTAACACGAATAATTTTATAACAAATAAAGATATTTTGATTTTATTTCTCTTTATAAACGTCGAGAGAGGTAAATACCTTTATTTGCCATAAAAGACACGGTTAATAATATAAGTCATATTTTTATGTTTATTTATTGAAATAGAAATAGAAATAATTTTTATTCAAATAAACTCAGTACAAGCACTTTTGAATAGTCATCAGTTTTATTCTAACACTCATTCGGAATGCAGATTCATCACAAGAAGAATGAGCAAGAAACTTGTGTGTTGCTCTTTTGAATCGATGTTGTTAATAAGCCTCCGTTATGGTTATGTTTTTAACTTAAAAGAGCATTTTTTTTATATTAAAATGGTAGCAAACAAATATACAGTCTGATGATAGACGGTTTCGGCAGCCTATAGACACCAGGGGTGTCATGTGTGCGTTACCAAATCATTGGAAACTTTAATATATACCCTTCTCGAAAAACCCCATGCTATGGTCTCTCGAGAAAACCTCGGCAGGCAGTTCATTCCACAATCTAAATGTACACGGTAGGAAGCTCCTGTACTAATTACAATTATAATTAAACTAACACTGGCATGTTTTTTTCTTCCAAATAAAAACAAAAGCTAAAGTTTTTTTTTGCGTGCATCTTGCAATCTATTGATGTCTATGAGCAGATATAGTGAAAGTTACGTCACAAGCGACTACAGGATGATTCTTAGTCTCATCATTAGTAGAATCATCGTCTCTTCAGATGGTCCTGATTTCTCATCGACCTACGCCTAGTAACCTACGCCTTTTAAGCCGACGTACTCGTATGTTGTCAGGGACTATCAGTTGCATCTATCAAAGTCTTATTTTAATTATTTATTTATTTAATTCAGGCCACATGGCTCATGTTATAAATACCTTATGGACTGACATACATAGGAAATAATCTATACCATATAAATCAAATTGAGCGTCTGTATGTAATATCGAAATAACCGTTTTTTACATGCATATGAATATAAATACATATACTAAAATAATATTTTTTTACAATTGTTGTCTGTCTGTTTGTTCCGGCTGATGTCTGAAACGGCTGGTCCGATTTTGACGGGACTTTTTTTGGTAGATAGCTGACGTATGAGGAGTAAGTTGCGGCGTGCGGTACTCACTCGGCGGAGTCGACGGTGATCATCTCGTAGTCGTTGTCGGGGTTGTAGAAGACGTTGTCGACGTATCTCTGGCCGGGCGTGCCGGCCACCACCGTGGCGCGGCCCGACGGATCCGTCGCGTAGTTGCTGCAACAAACACTACACGCTACAGCCTCCCACGCACCACTCCTACTACTCCTACTACTCCTACTACTCCTACTACTCCTACTACTCCTACTACTCCTACTACTCCTACGAATAGGGTTGTATGTGAAGATGAAAAGTTGTATGGAAATATCATCATTTTTAAAGCTGGAAACTTGAATATTATTTTTATAGGCTGTTGATTAAATATAAATAAATATGACGTTCAAAGTTTGTATAAATTTTGACCCTTAAAGGTCAACCCTAATAGGGTATATAATAAAATAAAATAGGGGAGTAACTTTATATGAAAATTCGTCATTTTTGAAACTGGAATGATGAAACTTTTTTCATGGGGTTACATTATTAAATATTTCATGCCATCCAAGGTGATTATTCCACGCGGCACGCCACACACCTAGCACAGTGTAAGTAGCGACGTGTGCTAGTGAGGGTATCGTGGGGTGGTGTACTGACTTGTAGAAGCCGTTGTGCGCGGTGGTCTGGTAGATGGGCAGCCGCACCCGGTGGAAGCCGGCCACCTGCAGCACGCGCAGCCCGGTGTTGCGATGCAGGTAGTTGTGCGTGAAGTTGGACACCACCTGCCGCAGCACCACCACGTCCGCGTACTGCGCGCGGTGCCGGGTGAAGTAGTTGTTGTGGACGGTCACCTCCTGGTACGGCGACGACTGCCGCCCTGCAGGCCAACCACGACGGGTTCAAACTCCGACCGACTCCTCTTCGTTACAACTTATTCTCTTATTCTCTCTCATTTAAAGAGATGAGAATAAACACTAAACACTATTAATTTAAAAATACGGAAATCGACTACTAATAAACTAGGGATTTTTTCTTCATACGAGACGACACGTATCGATTTAGATAATTAATCTATTAAAAAAAATATCATGTTAAAATGAAATGGGCCAAGAAAACTAATTTCCATAACTTTACTAGGTACGTTTGACAATGAATTGTAACTGAAATCAATATTGATGACAAATTAGCAAGTTATGAACAACAAACACAGCAAAAAGGAAACTGTGAGCCTGCAAACTTAACAAACAATTTTAATGTTTAATGTATTTTAACTAACTAATAAATAATAATGTATAGAAATATAAACCTTTATTCAAATATACTTATATTAATACACGCATATTCGAATAGTCATGTAGTGTGTACAGAAGATTGTAAGTTTATGTGTACATATATATATTCACCTTCGACTTGAAGGCAGGGCAGGTCGTGGTTGGCGTAGAACAGGTTGTTGTGTATCCAGCCGCGGAGCGAGGTGGCCGACCCCCTCGAGTCCGCCCTCACCAGCAGCCCGCCCACGTTCTCCTGCACCAGGTTGTTCTGAAAGTAACCCCCTCACTATATATTTACTGGGTTCTCTGGATGCAGCTTTATGAATGCCAAACTACTATTGTGCGTTAATAAGTAGTTCATTCAATGTGCCCAAAAAAATCTATTCTTTTTATAAAGTCAACGATGGCAAGGAAAACACAAGACAAATCACAGACAAATAATGGACAGAATGGAGAATTTGTTATCATAGTTACCAAATACTTTCAAATTCAAATTCAAAAATCATTTATTAATGTAGGACATTTTAGCCGCTTATGAACGTCAAATTAAGATATTATAATTTTTTCCCTACCGTCCAGTTCAGTATATATATAGATCTAATTGAGAAGAACTGGCAAGAAACTCAATTGAATTACTTTTTTTGTTTTGAAGCCAGTTATTTATAATACAATGTGTATAGGTGTCCATCTCTAATATTAAATGAAAAACAGAGCTGGTGCGGCATGTGAAGCGGCTGAAAAAGCCAAAATATGTAAATATGAATATGATTTGTCCCATTCGGTGTCAAGACCCTTGAAAAGGTTAGGTTAGGTGAAAAGGTTAGTCGACATCACAGAAGACTGAAGAGCTGGCAGCTACCTTGGACAAAGAATTAGTCTAGCTATTCAAAGAGGGAACGCTGCCAGTATCTTCGGAACGTTGCCTAAAGGGACCCCTTTTAATAATATATTTTAGTCATCATATTATATTTTTTTATTTAGCTTTTTAATTTTAGGTTCTTAGTTGTACAATTAGGTTATGTAAATACTAGCAATAAATTTTAAATGAAAATAACAACTATTGCCATGCACGCTCGTCATTCAAGTAATCGTTCGGTTTCGTCAGCTTTGCTGAGTAAATATGATTCAACACTTGTTTTGAATTTATTTAAGGGAAATTCCAGTATATTCTATTGTAACTTTTTATACCTATACCCATAAAAGGCCTATTGACATTTTGTAAACGATACTTGGGGACACCAAGTTTATATTAAAATCTAGTATTAAAATTATGAAATCTAGTATTAATATGATTCTCGGGCACTCACTCTAAACACGAACGTCTGCGTGTTCTGCAGGTCGACGCTGACGGCGGCCTGGCAGGTGGTGAAGTTGCCGTACAGCTTGCGACAGTTGTCCGTGATCTCGTTGCCGCTGATGGCCACCAGCGGGTTCACCTCGCCAACAGACCGGTAAGTGATGGCCCCGTCCCGGTTGTTCAGCAGCTCGCTGTCCGATATGTTGTGCTGCACGTCGCGATCTGTATCATGTCAACCAAACGTCATTGATTACAAGCTACATATTACGTTACAAGTAATAGTATACGTTTCTTGATATTCAATATTTTACGATGAAACGAAAAACGGGTCCTCGTGATCCAATCGGTTTGAACGCCGATACTATCAAGAGAATAGACACTATTTTCACTACCTTTCAAGCGATCAGTTTTGGTAACGAACATTGTATTCTATTATTTCTATGGGTCTCATACATTTTGTATAGAATAAAATATCGTATCAACATTTAAAGAGCTTGATGGAAGATCGCGAAAAGTGGCACTGACAAGAGAGTAGCTCTTAAATTATGAATGAATGAAAATATATTCTTACAACAGGAATATATAAATCATAATCAGGTTTACTTGTTTACCTCAATCAATTATCAGGTAATTCATGATATCAGCATGGTACCTACTGTAGACTTTAGCTGAAAATCAGTGCTTGTTCCTTGGAAAGAACTATAAAAAAATTACAGACTAATCTACGGCCTTTTCAGTACACTAAATTAACATATACGCACTATGTGACATTTATAGTGTACAGTGTTCTTTTTGTTATTTTGTTTCGTTATTTTATATTGCGTGTGCTAAAGATGCAAGTATCATTTATCTACCTACATAGTTCTCTTTTTATGGCAAAACAAACATTTAAAAATATCTTATAATAATAATAAAAATGTACCGGACACGCGGATGAAAACTAGTTTCAATGGGCATATCATGTGATATAGGTATACATATACCGTTATTAACAGGACAGGACAAACAAATGACGCAATGAGACTTACTGAATCCAATCGCAGATACGGGCAGGGTGACGATCTCTGCGATGAAGCCGTGCGCGGCGGCGGCGCCGCTGGCGAACAACTTGACGCTGAGGCTGGCGCTCTGCGTGCGGAACAGTCTCTTCTCGTCCGGGGAGTCGCTCTCCAAGTAGCCGATCTGAGGCGCCGTTATGTTGTATATGTCCCCGTCGTACAGGGTCAACGAGTCGCGTTTCCCGTAATTTATTGTATGGTTGAACAAATTGAATTGAAGCAATCTAAACCCGAACGGCTTAACCCTAAAGGCGCTCTTGAATATTTTGACGCAGTTGACTGGATTATTGTCGTATTTGTAGTACAGGAGCACTCTCTCCTCCACTGTTATCATTTTTGTACTGTCACAAATATCTATGAGGGAGAACATGTGGTAAGGAAGATTCAAGTCCTTCAGTGGAGTGAAACTGGACTCGTCTGATTCTCTACCTTCTCCGTTGAGTGATATGGCACTGATACCTTCCCCCAGTGTGTTGTTGATGATGTTAAATCTCATATGAATCGAGTCGGTGGGTGATATGATATTGATGCCGTGGTGGGCGCATTGACTTATATTCACGTTTTGTATCATTGGATTTTTCATAATACTTTGGACTGCGGGAGACTTTTCGTTGTGCAGTACCCCGGCTCCGACGACGTGCACGTGCAGTAGCGAGCTCTCCTCCTTTCTCATCGTCTCGTGCGTTTGGTGGTCATGAATTCGGTGCTCGTATAATGAATACTCGAATTCTGGATTTGCAAAGCGAATGCCGCCCCAGTATTGTAGACTTTCATCCAGATTTCTCGTCCCGCAATTGATGAATACAAAATTAGAGTCCCATTTGCATTCGTGTTTGTGGCCGTACAATTGTCCGTTCAGTCTGATGGGACAGTCTTCGTATCGATCTTCGGTTCCGACGCACTGTAGAGGCTCAGGCCAGGACCAAATACGCGACAGTGAATTACTGTGGTACTCCACCCGACGGTCGCGGGCGAAGAACACATTTATCGGATCGAACCCTAATTCGCGACATACCACTTGAGCGTTCCTTTCAGTGAAGCGATTATCACACATCGGTACCCATTGCAGAGTTGTCCGATTGTAATATTCCAAAAATCCTTCATTGTTTCGTTCCGATATATTATCATTAATGGTACAATTTCTACCAGTACACAGTCTTATAGAATCTTGAACTATAAAATTTTCTAATTGTCGTTTTTGTTTATGATGTTGGTGAGATAGTGAGTACCCGACGTCTCGTTTCTCGATTCTGTTTATTTCCATATTGTTTAAAGGAGGTAGCGGCTTCATTATTATTGGCATCTGACTGTGGCCCATCGCTTTGAGTGTCCCCATAACCAATATACCAACATTGGATGCAAATTCTAGCGTCACGCCCGGGTTGATAGTGAGTGTGACATCAGGCATCACAGTGATATCACCAGTCACTGCGTATGGAGCCAGTCTGGGTTCCAATGTGAGGTCAGCATTTAAACGTCCACCCAGCTCGTTCATTTCTACATCCGTGACCGGGCCAAATGATGGTGAAAGGCTCGAATCGAAATTATCCTCAAGTAAATACGGCAAGTATTTGGCAATAGCGTGATTATTCCAATCATCAAAATCGAAGATTTGTTTCTTAATTTGCTTCTCATCTGCACTTCCCCACCAATTTTCAGTGACATATAAAGCATTATTGATCTTTGCCGTTTTAATTCCAGCCAATAGAGTGTACAACAAATCATTGTTCCCAAATAAGTTTCTTTTGACTTCCACTTTCTGAATCCCCTTAAAACCTACGACGTATGTGGGTTCTATACTTCTCATGAAAGAACTACGGACTAGCGTTTCTGAATGTCTATTATTTTTAACTTGATTGAATGAAAAAATCGCAGTCACCAACCCCATGATTTCACTCTGACTGTCCATGAAAAATTGCACCATGAATTGTCCATTGTTTCTCTCAATTAAATTACCTTCAATTCTCATTTTCTTTTCCATTCCTCTAATTGCAATGAGACCAGTTTTACAGTTATTATCGGTGAATGTATTTCTTGTGAAATTTATTTCAGTGAAATGACCGTCGACGACTAGAGCAAAGTTCAAATTATTTCTCCACGTATTATTATGCATATAAATTGAATGTGTGAAATTTTCATTATATTGCCACGCATAAGGCAAGGCGACATCGAACCCTCCAAACTTGTTTCTCTCTATGGTGTTATCCTGCAGAATATAATGATACAAATTGTTTGAGCTCCTCAAATCTCTAGCGAAATGGTATATTCCTTTTCCATTATCTGTTATCAAACTGTTGTTGATCATTATAGTTATTTCAGTAATATTACTCTCATGAATATCCCAGAACGGAGTGTTAACATATACTGCTTCTTCCTTATTGTGTGCTATTTCACAATTAAATAATTTAATACTTTCGTTTGCTTTACGTAAGAAGTGATCGCCGAGTTCATTCAAGTATCGGTTGTAATATAGAGCTTTAACACCTTTTGTGTTTCCTTTTATTTTAGAATTAATAACCTGCAGTGTAGGAACTGGTCCTTTCACAATTCTATTGCGAAGATTTTGTACCGGAGCAGTAATTGTACTTACAACTAAAACCACTCCACCTAGTGCAGCAACGCCACTCTCATACACCAATACTACACCAAAGCTGTTACTTGTCGTAGGAAACGTCGATAAATCACGATCAAGACACCATTTAGTACTTCCTTCGTTTATATTTTGAGAATCATAGATACAAATGCTCTCTGTAGAGAAATTGTGTATAGGATTTAAAAGCTGAAGTCCAAGTACGTATCCTGGGTTGCATTTAATGTTGTATGTTTTAACTTTATTCTCTCCGTAATGTTTAGTAAAAACCAAGTGCCTTGTTTCGCCATTCACCAAACTAACATCAGTTTCGTATTCAGGAATCATTATAGGTCGGTAAGTAAATTCGTCCAAGTTCAAATTAGGATCTAAATTGAACCAGCCAGCTATTTCTCTTTGCTGAGAACCAGTCAAATGCGGATTATGTGAAATACCAGCAATATTGTTATTTTCAATCATCGAGCTATATACTTTTAAACCTAGCTGTTTAAAACTTATACCACTTCCTCTATTGTTACTGAATTCTGAATTTCTAACAGTATTTACAGCATCTGCTCCATATAAATCTGAATATAAGATTCCTAGTCCGTCATGGTAATTATTTATTATCCTAACACTTTCCAAGCCGTGGCGAGCAAAGTCCATTTGTAGGGCTGGTTTAAAAATATTAGATGAATAATCCAGAAGACCAGCTTTTTCTATAGTGACGTATTGTAAGTCAGTTCTTTCAGAAATTACACTAAATCTAACTCCGGCCCAACTAGTTTCGTAGCATCTTATTCCGACGTCATTTTCATGTGTGCAGGAATTTTCAAAGTGATTTCTAGTTTCTGCTTTACATTTTGTAATATCGTTATCCAATTCAGTACATTCGACATTTGATAATATTATATCTTCTGTAACACCCGCTGATGGTATCTCGTTGGGTTCTAAATACCAGTCGTCTGGATTTAAAGCTAGACCTAATTGGTTGCAAACTAAACCAGCATTAATTATATTCCATCTGTAATTGCACACTGTGCCCCATTTATCATCTATTCTAACTTGTAATCTACCTTCATGTTGCGTTCGTCCACCTAGAAGTCTTATTGGAACAATGGGCTCCGAGTAACTAGGGGTCGTAGGGGCGAGTTCTGTATCAGATTCATAAATGGTGTCATTACTCATAATTATTTCATCTTTGATAGTAAATGTTATATCGTTTGGGCGTTTACCTCTAGCTTCTAACTTTCCTGCTACCATTATACCTATCGCAGGAGGAAATTTCAATGTTACGCCGGATTGTATAATGAGTTTGCCTCCTGGCCGTATATTGATATCTTTGTCGACGTCATATTCTCCCTGTCTTAGTATTTCTATGCCCTCTACTTCGCCACCAACAATAAATGTCCCTGGTACATTAAATTGTGGAACGTAAAGTGAATTATAATTTATTTGAGTTGCGCCCGGATTGCTACTATGTAATAAATAAGGCATATAAGTAATCTTAGCTAAGTTGTATCTGTCCTTTCTGTGAAATAATCTTTTATAAACCTTTTCTTCTTCTCCAAATCCAAGCCAGTTATATGTGCAATTAAGAACTTTACTCTGATCTTCGACATGAGAGCCTATTTCATATTGAGCTTCTGGATTGTTAATTATATTTCTATAGACGTCAATATTACTTGAAGCCAAAACTATTGTTGCTGCTACTCTGCTTCGGGGTGTCAACCGCGATGCTATACCTTCTAGCGGTTCAAACGCCTCTCTGATTTTATTTTCTCTTAGATAATTTCTCGTAAATAATATGTATTGAATATCGCTATAGGGTGACAAACCAAGATTCACTACAAATGGGCCTCTATTAGCGTAGAAATAATTATGTTGTATACTAAATCTTGCTGGTAGAATTTCGAATTCTTCTAAGTATTTTCCTTCTATTCTATTCATTATAACAATCGCACCATAATTTCCATATTCAAAGTAATTATATTCAACCCTACCAACTATATTCAGAGCTGGTTGTATTTTCAATGGAACTTTCTGATTTTGGTAAAACCTGTTGTGTCCTACTTGTAAATTTAGTAACTTTGGGGGATTGTTATTTCTCCAGCAGGTGGATATGTCTATAGTGCTTTCAGTGCTTGTATTGAACCAGTTACCAGTAATGTTGACCCAACTATCACCACAATAGTTTCCATGTAGTATGCCAACATCAAGATTTTTAAATATTTCAGAGTACTCTATAACAGTTGTTTGATTAATTGGAACATATTCAGTTTCTTGAGTATTGTTTATCCATATTGCAACACCGTAACCTTGGTTAGAGCTTAAAATACTTCTTGATATGTTTCTGTTCCCACCAGTAACAGTTATATTAATTCCATCTCCTTGATTGAATGATATTCTACTTTCAGTTACGTTGACATCGCCTGCACCATTCACAACTTGAAGACCAGCCACATGGTTATTATTGGATATAGACGTACGGTGAATGTGAACTTGAGATCTTAAGTTTTCAATAACAACGCCTCTACCATTATTGTTTGATATTATTGTATCCGTTACATTTAAGTCGTATGTTTTAGTAACACCTGATATTAATCGTAGAAAACCCACAATATCAGTTCTAGTATCAGCACGAAATCTCACAAACATTCGGTTTCTTGTGGACGTAACACTTTGCGGTCGTGTATGGTTTCTTATGCTGAACGACAACAATAGTTTATCTTCTGTGGTTAAACCGTCATAAACGAATATTTCTCCTGTATCGTTACGGTTAGTTAAAATATTGATGAAGCTTAAAGTTAAAACGTGATCAGATCTAGTGTAAAATTTCTGACTACAATCTCTTACCATGTTTGAGTAGCGAGATTGCTCTATGGATAATTGTAAAGGAAACGTTTGGCTCGGAGTTGAAGCCAGTGTACACAAGTCGAATACTTCGCTTCTATCAAATCTCTCATCAATATTCATATCATGCACCACGTACTTGACGCCGTCGCCTCCATTGTCATGTATCAAGCAATTTTCAATCTTGGCCATGCCGTACGTGGAGTTCACATACACGCCATAGCCTCTATTGTTTTGTATCGTGCAATTGTTGATTATGACGGGCGCATTAGGAGAGGTCACGTTTATTGCATTAAACGCAGAGTTGGATATTTCAATGTCTTCCATCACTGGCGGGACTCCTATTACGTCTAAAGCACTGGTTGCATTATTTCCTCTACCCAGGCCTGCGTTTTTAACAGTTACATGCGCAAGTCTAGACATGGACGTGGGGACGTAGAGTGTGTTGGCGGCGGTGAGCACTCGCTCGTACACGGCGTTTTCAAATCGCATTCCTCTCCAATGGCGGGCGGACGTTCCCGACTCGTTGTCGTCGTGGTGCGGTAAACACTGAATGCCTAGGTCTGGGTGGTAATCGCAAACTCCTGAGCCTAGTTGCCTGCTATCCCAATCGCATTGAAATATGTCATGTTCGGTGCCTTTGCAGTTTGGCTCCTCGAATAACAATCTCGCGCGGCGGCCGGGCTGGCGGTCCATCCAATTGTAGAATGATCCACCCATAAAACCTAACTGTCGACATGCCGTCTCCATGTCGTTTATTGTCCAACTGAAAAAAAAAACAAACAGCATTTTCTTAACTATTCCGAGGACATTAAAAAATATTGTGTACAATATATTTTTTTTTTAATACAATTTAAACTACAGATGATACTCACTTTCTTGAATTTGTACAAACTGATCGCCACTGGCCCTTGTGTAATATTTGTACCCGCCCCGCTAGTATAGACGGTCCATCCACTAAACGTATATCAGGAATTGGTTTGGCAGACTTGACTGGCTCTTCTGTACTCGTAAATGTGATTCTGTTTTCATGATGTCCCTAAAACAAAAATAAGTTATTAGCACAACATAAAATACTCGTACTTTTATTTAAAATCTACTTGCACAAACATAGTTACATAGTTCATTCCTACTAGTGGAATGATGAATAATGGAGAAGAATACATTCTGCCATTTTAAAAAAACCGCGCAGACACAATGATATGGTGTAAGGTGTTATCCCCCAAAGTAGACGGCCGCGGCCGCCCGCCGGCCGGCCGCCAGACAAATTTGGACCAAAGAATATTTTATGACTTTACACTAATATTATGTTATGTGTGCTAATACTGAACTTGACTTTTACATAAGCTTCTTTTTAGAATCAATAAGGTTTAAGTTTGTCTAAATAATGAATGACTTAATGTATGTTTACCCGTGATCATAGTGGTTGATACACTGCCGAAATATCGGGAATTCAGTAAATAAATATAAAACGTGGTAAGATCCCGTGATTTTAACTACTTATACGTATAAATAATGACCGCGTCAAATTTAAATCAGTATATGACTTTTATTTATACAGTGCCCAAGTTAATTTCAGTAATCAATTCTATTCGATTTTTTATTAATTTCTTATCAAAACTACAAAACATAGAGACATAGAAGTATAGCAGTAGTAGTAGTAGTAGTAGCGGCGTGCCGCAATGCGACCCCGCTCTATATTCACTCCGTTGCAATTGCGACCCGTATACAAAGCAGTCGACTTTCTACGTGTGCACAATTCTATTGTTCATTTTGCAATAAATCAATCAATTAAATAGACAATAAGTGACAGTTGGCCAAGAGGGCAGCGGCGTCGAGGGGCGCTGCCGGCACCTCAATGGACGGACGTGCAAATTTAGCGTCGGCCTTAGGCAATAAACTACAAAGTATATCGGTCGTAGCATGGCCACTCATGACCCTACCTAATTCCGGCGTCGCCAATTGGAAATAGTTTTCCTCACACCAAACTAAACTAAACAGCGTAACAGGTACGCACCCTTGCACCTTACGCACGTACTTTGAAAGTATATTTGAAAAAAAAAAACTATTTTATTGGCAATTTCTGTTATTGCTATTCTTACATATTAATCAAAATATGTTTCTAAGAAGTTGCCGTAATATGTGTATACTTAACTAATTATTACTGATAATCATATCAGTACACAAACCATTGAATTCAGAGAATTTTTAACATATGTTGACTTTTTTAATACACCGCCCCACCGCCACTAGTACGAGTAGGGAGCCCCGCCTATGAAGTTATAATTACTTTAGTTTACGTCAAATGAACCCAGATATACTACAGTAATCCGCAATACTGCACCCGTATCGTTATAGGTATATCTTGAGTAGAACAATGATCGTCCGCAGTCCTACACAACAGTGACTGTTCAATTAAAAACGGGACGACAACCTGCCATTTGTCAACTGAGATTATAGTCCATATCAGCAAACAATAGGGTTGCCAAGTCCAAATTTAAAAAAAAAACCACGATTGAGAGTTCAAAAAACCAGGACTACCCAGTTTAAAAACAGAACGCAGTAATAGTGTTGCAGTAGTAATATTAATATATAGAAAGATTAAAGTAATTAATATAATCTGGTTTTTAGTAAAAAGTATTTGATAAAATTATAGTGTTGACAATCAGTAATTAAGAGGCGCGCGTATTTTAAAAATCCAATGACCCAGGACTTCGCAGGTTACTTAAAAAACCAGGACGGTTGGCAACTCTAGCAAACGACCGTAGATGTCCACAGTATGCTGTATGACATCACCGGGCTAGGAGCTGACGAGTGTGCGAGTGGGCCGCGAGCACCTACGCGCAAACCCGCCCTCGGCCCCTCGCCCGCACACGTTGGTCGTAGTCCGTCATATGACTTCCTGTGCATTGATGCACCCCATTCACGTGGTCACGAGCGGCTGCCTGCCCTCGCTTGTGTCCGCTGTAGTGCGCGGCTTGTTTGGATGTTTGTAGTGATGTAATTTAATGGTTGCGATCCACGCGCGGCCACGTGACGAGTGGCACACACCCTCTATGTCACTGTTATAGCTAATTCAACATAATCAATCCGGAATTTTGAATAAGCATTTCAAAAATTAAATTGTTATACTGCCAACTGTTATAGTATTGTACATATCTTTTACATAATCGTAAATCAAAGAGCTTGTTTTTATATCTCATTTCATCAACATTGGTATCAAGTTGTCTATGACATAAGTCATAATAATGTAGGTACAAGAGATAGGTGCACATTTACGCGGTAGATGTAATCCTATCCGTGAGATGTAGGACAACAATTGAGAGACATTCAGACGTATCGCCTAATTATTAATATTCTCATATTATCATATACTAATATTGGCTGTGCCCACGGTTTCATTCGCGTGAAATTTATAGCCTATATGTTATTCTAGTGCATAAGCTATACTACTGTAAAGTTTCATCAAAACCCGTTCAATAGTTTTTGCGTGGAAGAGTATATGTATGTTTTAAATAGAAACATTGTAATTTCGAGTTCTTGTAATCGACCATTTGATATCATTATGATATGATGGTTATCACACACATGTCTGTCTGTCTGTACAGCTCGCTGTTCATCATCGGAGACAAATACCAACGCCACGCTACTGGCTTCCTGCTCGCTGAGCATGTTCTACACGCGCGGAATGTATAATGAGGAACTTAACTCCAGCCAACAATGCTGTTACGCATGTACAGTATGTACTGTACACGTTTAGACAATAATATTTGTGATATACCGGCATTCAAGTTTATTCGTCCTTCGACATTTATGACAAATCTAGTCCACAGCGTATCGGACACACATATTGGGTAAGAATGCTTTGAATCCTTTTATAAATTAAACAGCGTTACATTGTAAAGAATTTTGAGCAACATTCATAATATTAATACAAGATTTAAAGACTAACTTGCTGTCCCCAAGTATCGTTTAGAAAAAGTCAATAGGTCTTTTATGGGAATAAAAATTTATAATACTAAACCAATACCAATAGTTGTTCATGCACGGGATTTTCATTTAATGTTAGACATAGACATCTATATAAATATACATTGTAATTAACTGGCTTTTAAAAAACTAATTCAATTGAGTTTCTTGGCAGTTCTTCTCAATTGGCTCTATATGTATACTGAATTGGACGGTAAGGACAAAATTATAATATAAAATATCTGACGTTCATAAGCGGCTAAAATGTCCTACATTAATAAATGATTTTTGAATTTGAATTTATGTACTTAATACAAAAAATATTGTTATGTTACGGTTACTTAAAAATTCATATTGCAAACTATCAAAAGAATAAAAATAAACATGTGGGAGTCGGAATTGCACACCGATACTAATCTGATTTATAATGATTTTGCTTCACAGTGTATTGCACTTGGCCACTGCTGACTTTTTTGCTGAGGATTTATCGTTACTTACTTAATTGTGGGAACGTTAAAAACCATTCTTAGCCGTTTATGGCCATTTGTTACGGTTATATACATGTATAACGTTTTAACGGAAGTTTTTCATACTTTTTTTCTACACATCCAGAGCAGCACTTTGCAAAGTTCCTATCCGAGCTTTATGACAAAGAAAATATTATAGAGTAGAGAGAGTAATTTCCCAACGTTAAAGTGTAATTCCATTCACTTCCACGTTTTAAAGGGATGAAATATAAAAAGTCGATTATAATATTTAAAATTCAAATTCAAAATATCTTTATTCATGTAGGTCTATAACAGACCTTATGACATGTCAAATCTACCGTCAGTTCGGAATGATTTCGAGATGAGAAGAACTGACAAGAAACACAGCTCGTATTCTTTTCAAATAAATGTTGTACATGTTTACAATAATATAGATTTATTTTTAATTCAAATTTTAAACAGACCAGTTCTCACAAGCAACACCCGTTCACGAGTATGACGGATCGGGTGCTGCTTGTGGGGACTGGTCTGTTCAGGACTTAGTGTAGTGATATTGTACAATCAGTATGTATTTACGTGGGCAGCCATTCTAACTGGACAGTCGAAACCAGCTGACTTTTTACAATACATTTTCCTGGAAATTGTGACATGAAGTTATATTGTGTTGGTGGTGTAGTGAAATATAAATACTGTTACGAAACTTTATAGCGGATCATATCGTAGATAATGTTCATTGGCCGGACGTTGTCCGGGGTAACGGAAGAAGTGAGGGCGGGGGGGGGTTGGGGATATGACAGGGTACATTCGAGGTTGCTGTTTGGTTGTTGTAGGTCAGTGTATTGCTGATTCGAGTGAGGGTGAAGTTCTGAAATTATTTTTTAAGAACGGTATATTAAGGGTCGGCAACGAGCACGTAACACCCCTGGTTTTTCAAGCTACGCTAACCATTTACCATCGGATGGGCCGTATGTTTGTTTGCCATCATAGTAGTATAAAAAAAAATATTAATGTTTCATTTAATTATATCGAAAAGAAAAAGAAATATATTTTCATAAAAATAGTTAAATCTCGTGAAGGTTAAACTTTTGAATTATATCCATTTTAACCAGTGGGACATAGTTTATGTACACTTCAGTAACATTTAAATAAGTGTAGTGATGCTGATGTTTAGAAATCACTAAATAACTGTCACCTAAGATTAGGGAGTGAAATATACTTAGGAGTCACCTAAAGGTTGGTGAAAACTATTTGATATATATTCAATTGGTATCGATTTAATAGCGCGCAGAGGTGAGGCTGCAGTTGTTTGTAAAGTTTGTAACACGGAATTGGTAATCTGTGTTACGGGTCACGAAATCACGAGCACGAACGACAGCGTCGCCTCGCGGCGTGCCTTCAGGTTTGTTCACCTCGCAGCTAAGATAGTTACCAACGCTGTTACTACTCCCTTACGCTTGCAGGTCTAGCAGAAATACTCTTGTACAATAATCAATAAACCTTCGTTACAACATTCAGTATTTTCATGCTATAAAATTCTCTTAGAAGAAAGGTGCTACGTATTCGTATCTACAAGACAAGTAAG